CAGAAGACAAGAAATGCGCTCTGCACGTGAAAGATCAAAAGAAATGGAAGGAGTTTTCTCAGCGCGACGAATTCAGAGTGGATGTGAGGGTTGGATTTTGATTTTATCATCTATCGTTTGTTCGAACTGTCGACTGACTTCCGTTGTTCTGCCAACCCATTCCGCCATCCTCGCTTTGAATTCGATGTCAACATCCACTTGCGATACTCTGAGCCTTTCCTCACTCCTATCGATATTGCGAAATGCTGCCGAATACATAAATATATATATGAGCATAAATTTTCAACACCCTCAATTTTTGCCATCCTCATCTTTCAATCCTGACCCCGCGTCCTTTGACAGCGCGTGTTGAATATCCAACGTGCTATGAAAGAGGAAAACGTGGGTGATGAGGTGAAAATTCACTTGAGTCTATGAGAAATATTGAGTGATCAATTTCAATTGACTTTTAGAGACTTTTCATTCAGTAACCACGCAGTAAGTATTATATTCATTCCACACTTTATGTTGTACTCCTTTTCCCGGTGCGATGTTTGAAGAATTTCCGTGCTTCGCCCAAAGCTAAACAACACTTGTGTACATACACCATTGTATGTGTATAGATCATTATCAGATTTATCTTGCAATACATGACATGCTTGTAATGATGAATGTTTTGTGGGCGACAAGACATGAGAGTTCGCTTTCGTGTCTTCTTTTTCTATACGATATTTTTTTCGCAATTTCATGTCACGGAAGTATTCTCTATCCACGAATAATCCATTTGCTATACTTGTCATTTTATTGTGGAACTACGTGTATTTATTTATGGCATATTTATAGGGATTGAAATTCGCTATTGATAAAGCTTTCAAGATATTTTATACGATTTTCAGAGTGGTTGCGATGCATTCAAATACAAGATAATAGTGTACAAATGTATTCATTCGGCATTTCTATCGCTGAAAAAAATTGCAATAATAAAGAAATATATTTCACTTTCTCATAATATAGACAAAAACAGCTCGTTATGTGTGAAAAAACTTTTGTTTCTCTTGTGATCGTCTCTATATCATTTAGTTAATATCTCTGTGAAGTTTTTATCTGCTGGTTTTCATTCGATAAATTGTAGTATTTATGAGTGGCAACAAAAAGTACATAGTGTGCGGAAGAACGAGTGGAATAAGGAGTGTTTCCAAGACGAGTTTTTCTTCGATGGAGAATTTTATGGATGGAATGCCAAGAAATCTAGCTAAAGTTTTCATTAAAATAATAAATAGAAGAAGTGTAATTAGAGCAGAACAATATAAAGACAAACCTCTGGCTTTTGTGGCATTTCTCATGGAATTCCTATTCAATATCTCAGCACATAAATACGCCCATTTGGTCCTTTCGTCAGGCCCTCAATATTATACTGGTACATGAGAAAACCGCTCGCAAGCAAAGGAGAGCCCAAAAATGTTGGGAGCTTTCTGCCATTGATTGCTTGTGAAATATTTAAGTAATGTGTAAGACAATATTCCATTACACCCCATGAAGCTTCAAATGACCAATATAGACATGATCACTTCATACCCAGAATTGCTTACCTCCTTGTTCATGTAGTCACCCCACTCTCGGATCTGAGCAACAACGCCGCAGTGCAAATTTCTATTGATTTCCACCCCCGAGAAAGCTCTTTCATTCTCAACTTTGGTGTCTGTGCGGAGTAATTGTCCGTGAATGTGTGTTGAAATTAAAATCTTCATATAGTACTTGCAGGGAGAATTAACATGGGGAAGATCGTTCATACTTTTTTTATGTATTTTTCCAAATAATAAACAAGAACATAAAATAGATGTAAATTTCACATGGGAATACGCGAGGCATAAATTTCGTCTCTATTGTACCCAGTGCAAGAGAAAGACCATGAAGATACTTTTGACTGTGGATATAAATAATGTGAAATTGCATTTCGTGTATAAATGTAAATTTTAATAAACAATTGCTTGAATTTATGAATGTCTATATGGAGTGGATTTTGCCTTTTTCGCACTGGATGTCTCTTAAAGGGAGGGCTTATTTGTGAACGCAGCATTAAAGGATTTTTGGGGTTTGAAAGAACATTTTTCCTCCATGTTAAACACATCAGTCACGAGCAGAGAGAATTTTTATGTGTTATGTGGAGTTTCTTTTAACAATAAAATTCAGATATGAATGAAGCTTTTATTGCCTTCCGGACGTACTAAATATTTCCCGAAAAATCATTAAATGCGCAATGACAAGTCGTATTTCGTCGGAAAATTCAAAGATATTATGCTTTTTAATCAAATATACACCGAATATTGCCACTTTCATAGTGTATCCTGAATCATATTATTCGATTACACCTCTGATTATTGCATGGTCTGTTAATATAAACACCCCGGGCAATAGATTGTAACCATTTCCAAATATTATCTTAGGACATTTTATTATGTTGACTCAATAAATAATTTTAGGCACTTTTCCCATGTTGACTTTTTTAGCCCAAAGAATTGATGGCAAAAAGTTGAAGGAGACCTCAATACATCATGCCCGGTGTTCAATCGCCTCGTGTAAGATTTTCCTCCCGGAGTGAAGCTCTTCTTCCGTGAGATCCTTTCATTCTTCATCCCAAGGCGGGGGCCAGAAGAGAGGGTGGCGGCCTTTCTACATGGTTGCCCCTCGACTTTTTTTCCAGCCCCATTCGACTAAAGTGAGGGACGACGGCATAAATCTAAAACACGAAGGCCCGATAAAAACATCTGTTAAAATAAAATCGAGATTTTGGGTGTCAGAATCAATATAAAAATAACAGTTACTGGCCTGTGTTTTCCTAGCAATTTTTCCCAATATCTCTCTCACATCTTATTCTGCTTTCTCTGGGTAAGTTGTATGCAGAACGTCTTTCCATCTACTTGACTCGTATTTTTGTGGGAGAGTTTTTGTTCTAGCTGAGAAGGACAGGAGAAAAAAAACTCAATGGGGAAAGTGGGCGATGAAGGATAATAGATGCAACCAGTTCCCTTGTCGTCCGTCCATTTTGATCTAAGAAACAGATTATTATCCTTTCGGCCTCCGCACATTTAACACGAAAGCCAACAATAATGAGCTTCCTTTGTGAGGCTACTTTTTGCCACGTCCGCCAACCCCTTAACCCCCTCATTTCTTAGACATCGAGGCAAACCACAAGAGAATTTCATTATGACAAAATGATGGTCTTCCGGTTGTAAGCTTCTTAGATAAACACGAACGCACTTTCGCCACATGCCAAAACTTTACGCCCAAGCCACTTTTCTGACCCTCTCCGCTTTTGGTCATCCGAAATCCACATGGCTCAAGATAACTCATAATGATGCCAGGGATATTGTGGGGCGGTCAAGAGGGAATTATATCCAGTGAATTTCATCCTATTAATATGAAATTCAAATTCCCACTTAAGCAGATGGTGCAGAGCACATTGATAGGCATTAGTGGGAAACTATATGAATTTGCATAATAACCTGAAGACTTCCATTGAGCCAGAAGATAATTTCCCCTTTTTTTCGAATGAAGGTTCTCATCGATTTTTTCGCTCTGCGAAGGCTTCGACAATATCCTGCGACGCATGCGGGACTGGACATAGCTTGTCTGGCAGATTGAATTGATGGAACTCTCATGCAAGTGAAAATGTGTAAGCAAGGCAAAAGATACATTCTTCAAGACTAAAGCATGACTGGCGTGGGTGGTTGGTTTGGGCATGGGAATGGGAAAATCCTCGAGGCAATTTTGCAGGTGTTTCATGCAGTATTTTCGGGGTATAATTCCAGGACAAGGAGAGAGGATGAAAAAGAAAAGCTCCATATAAAAGATTTTCTCCGACACAGGAACGTGCCTAAAGCACAGAGTGAGCTTTTCGACCCACAACCCAGGGAGAATTCTTGGTCTGGGATTGCCACAGGGTGAGGGAGCGTGAAGCAAATATTTGACTAGATTTGTTGCGTGTGTGTCATCGGAAGGGGGTGCTTAGGTTTGGGGATTAAGTCAATAAATGCGAACTCTGGGGAATGCTTAAAAGTGTGGATTACTGAAAAAGGGAGGAAGATGCGAGTGGACTTTGGATGGAGCCAGTAGCACTTCGATAAGTGTTATCTTGTCATTGATGCTGTAATTTAGGAGTGTTAAGGGTGGATTACAAGAGTGTAAACCCTAGTTTTGCCTTTGCCAAATGCTTTATAAAACATCATGATTCCCAAAACCCAAATTACTGAAGCATTTTTACCATTTTCACACCCAGTTATTTATAGATTTGTTGTGTAATTTTCCATCCAAATACGCTGGAAAATGAAGTGACCTGAGAGAACAGTTTTCAGTTTCATCCTGCATATACCACTGAAACCAACCTCTCGCACAGCAAAAACTCCAACACTGGATATTTTCTGTCCAACCTCTATCTCATTTATATGCAACTGCATTTTATAGACCGTCGAATGTGTATTTTTTCTGAATAGTGCTGAAAGAGGAAAATAAAATCCAAATATTGTTTCTTTTTTCACTTTCCTGTGGAAAAAAATCCACTGGGCTCATCTCATATGGTTCCGGCTGGGTGTGTGAGAATGATTGAAAATTGAAAAGGGAGCTTTTCTCGCGCTTCCCAGTAAAGCTCTCCCAGAACCGCACAATTGGTTGGATCAAATGTATTCGGAGCATCAAACAGATTCCTTTCCACATCGTCATCGCATGAAAAATCTCTAGGCATGAAATGAATTCAATCTTTGCAAATACTTCAAATAAAAGCCATAAGATATTTTCTAACTTGGACAAATCTCGAAGGAGTCGTGTGCAATGTATTGTATGTGTGTATGAATTGCGTAATGTAATTGTGTGTAATGTATTTTTGAATTACATAGCGAGAGCGCCGGGCGAGTACTTGGACAAGGCTTTCTCGACTCTTTCTCGAGGCATGATTTATGTGGCTAATTTCGTTAATCTAGAGTTAATTGCTGACAGCCGAGTGGTCAGTTCAGGCATCCCATGCAATGCCACTGCTAGATTAGCACGATTAATCGCCTATCAGTGAGTGTAATATTTCAATTTATTCTTTCACTGCCTCTCTTTTGCCTGAGTGTACACGAAAAGTGAGCGGGAATAATGCCGACAGAGATTACTGTTAGACTTCACATCAATCTGCAGACCATTTTGCCTTGTCGTCCGTCAGTGTTTTGTGAGCAATCCCAGTCTTTGTCAATCCGTGCCATGGATGGATTTAATTTCATGATTTGCTTCCCCACGGAAGCCGAGGAGAAGGAGATGCTCTCGAAGACGCAAAGCTCTCAAGCGTCCACACCTTTGCGGGCGCCGGATTATAAAACCAATAAAGAATCGGTAAGAGAATTTCCTGTCACTTCTTACTGATGAGAAGATTGCCCGTGCCATTATTATTTTCCCTTTATACGCTCCACAGACTAATATAATTCAGAGTCTCCAGTCAGCAGCACTTGAGGAGAGCATCTCATCAAAGGAAGATCTGTTGAGGGTGGATGGTGAGACTACACAGACAAATACGCCGGCAATTAATCTGCCCAGTCGCACTGAGGGCTTCTTCTCGTCCTTCCGGAAGTCGACAATGAGGAGAAAGCGCACTCAAGCCGTGAAGATGAAGAGCACCAATTGGGCTACTCTGGACATCCCTTTGAACTCCCCAATGGAGACAGTTGTCCGGGAGTTGTTGCAGCGCGCGAAGATCGAGAACGCCACATGGACGAAACTCGTCGGCGGTCAGAAGATACAGGTGACCTTCACTGTAGAGATTGGCCAGAAGTGTGACCGCATCAAGCAGACGCTCCTGGAGTGGGGAATTGGCACCCGAGAAGGCTCCACGTTCTCCCTCATGCCGTGCTACTTCTTTAATGCCTCGGCGACGACGCCAGCCACTGACTCTGATGACGCTGTGGAAGACGACATGCAGAAAGAAGGCGCCTGGGAACGCTTTGTCTCTTCCATGACGGCACGATTCAATGTGGCTCAACTGGTGGAAGAAGTGCGCTACAATGCAGAACTGCGATTTGATTTTGTCTCCCTCATTGTCATTGCATCGTAAGTTTGATCACGGAGAAATGCTACTGTGAAGCTCACATGTGGTTTTTTTTTTTACAGCATCCTGGCCGGATTCGGACTTGTTGAGGACAATCCCCTCTTCCTGGCCGCCAGCATGCTCATCTCGCCACTCATGGGCCCAATAATAGCCGCCACTTTCGGCACTGTGATCAAGAATAGGAAACTTCAACGTCTGGGCATTGTCAATGAGCTGCTGGGCATCTTGATGGCCACTCTTGTGGGTTTCGTTTTTGGAATGATAATTTGCAGTGTCGACAGTCGATACGGGCTGGGCGAGGGTCTCACGCAGGAAATGCTGAGTCGATGTGAACTACACTCTCTGCTCGTGGGTATTCTCATAGCCCTCCCGTCAGGGGCCGCCGTGGCGATCGGCATCTTGGGAGAGAACATGGGCTCGCTGGCTGGCGTGGCCATTTCAGCCTCACTCTTGCCTCCAGCCGTGAATTCTGGCCTCATGTGGGCCCTAGCGTGCCTGTACAAGATCTACGAGGCCGATGGAGAGCGCTACAACTCCATCATCAAGACCAATTACTACTCCAATCATCAGTCAATCGAGGTGGCCATCATGGGATCCATCAGCATGTGTGTCACCATCACTAATGTGATCTCCGTGTACCTGATGGGCGTGATCTTCTTGCGCATTAAAGAAGTAGCCCCCATCGCCACACAAAACTACCGCAACTTCTGGAAGCACGACGTGAAGATCGCGCGCGACTACAACAAAACGTGCCAGGCGGCGGACACCACATTACTGCGACAGAAACTGGCCGAAGAGATCGCCGGCTTTGAGGCTCAGACTGATAATCGCGGCCAGGGCGTCAGGGCGGAAATTGTGAGAAGACTGACTCAAGGCCCGATGGCTTCGCTCTACTACCATCAGCACACATGGTCACCTCTGACTCACGCGCCACACAATCGGCCCACGGTTCAGGAAATCGAGTCGCTCCTCCTGAAGAACAATCAGCACGCCTCCAAGTACATCAGTCATCTCTGCTCACCGCCGCGAAGCAACCCGAGGCAGCAAATACCAAGGAGGCCAGAGTGCATCTATGGACGGCGATGCTCAATGCCATCCTCCAGCGTGAGTTCCTATCCAAAAGCCAACATCGCCAAGTTCTTACATGATGAAAGGCTCGACTCCATCGCTGAAACTCCGGGACGCAGTAGCAACAACTCTTCAGAGCGCGGTAAAAGCTTTATTGTAGTTCCCGTTGAGAAATAGGAATAGTATTAAAAAGAAAATATACATTGATCAATTTTTGCACGGAAATATATTTTTCACTCCTTCACTCACGGTCTTCATATTCAATCTTGCGTTACAGCATAAAAGAAATGGACTGAAATGCGCAGCAGATGCAATTTAAAGGCAACCGATATTGAAAATAGCGATTGAAGAGAATTTGGCAGACATCCAAAACTTCTGCACAGCCATTGGTCACCTCTATTTTGCGCATTCAATGAGACAGGCAGAAGCGGTCGTGGGATTAACAGCGCTCACGATATTGATTTTAGTATAAAATGAGCAATTGAATCTTTAAAGTGGATCTTCCACTTTTCTTAATCACTTTATGCATTATCATAAGGAAGAAGCAACACCGTAGAAGCTTTTTTCCATCTCATTTGCGTTTCAGGGACACAAATCGAGTTGATGTGTTGTGCTTAGTTTGCACAAGAGAATAATAACTTCGAGGAAAACTACCGCAAAAGCAATTGTATAGTTTTATTTATTTTTCAAGGGTGACAAAAGTACATCATTCACTGGGTGAGAGAAATTGATTAAATATTAAGTAGAGAGATACCTCTCTCTTTCTGAGTGAATGGGAGAAGAGGGAAAATGCAGGATATGGTTCTTCATTGTGATTAAAAGTAACAATTAAAAAGTTTTCGTGAATTAACATATTTATGTTTCATTTCGGCGCAAAATAAGTCCCTCGGGAGTATGAGTTTCTTGTTTGAAATGCTTCCTCGCCGGAGGGTACAACTTTTGCTCTCTTTCCACGTCGTTCCATGCACATAAATTAGCGATGGGACGACGACGAAAAACCCTCCCGGTAAGATATACTATAATTTAATTTTAAATACACACAAGGTATGATGCGGAGAGCTTAAAAGCAAGTCAGGGCATGGCTTCACATTACACATAAATGTAATCTTATGTTCACCCACACTCCATTCTGTGCTGTGCCAAGGTTCATCGCCTAAAGTGGGGTGAGCGGCTGGAAAATTACACACTCTGACACACGATCAGTGTCAATTGAGCTTTAGTCTATAAATTCCAAAGCACCAATTCATTGGTAATTAGAGCTGTGTAATTACCTAATTATTGGTGATATTCTTTTAATTTCCACCCACAATTTTCAGCGGATCACCTGGGTGTAAATGTCTCGTGGAATATAATTCAATAGCCAGCCAAGAGAGCTTTGGAAAGCTCTTAATTGGTTCACAAGTGTATACATGCGTGTGTATATGATATTCTTTCACTCTTCGTACACTGATGAATAGCAAGAGATTGTTATTTACACTCGTAGGGTGAAAATCACTACATTTCTCCCACATCAATTCCCTTTTCTACCTACTATGAAGCCATTGTGGCCTGGATTGGCCTTGTTGTGGCTGCAAAGAGAGTATTTCGCTATTAAGATTTTCAATTAGAGATAGAAAAGCAATTGCCCAGAAATGAGTTATGCTCATTTCTCCAACACCACCGGGCCATCCTGAATGGGGAACAATCAATTGCTGCGCTCTCGAAGACACATTCTCACTCTTTGGGACCATTTACAGCTGACATGTACGCTTTCTCTGCGTGCTAAGTGAAATATTGTGTCAGTTAACCGAGTCAGGAGTGGGATAGACGATGAAAGGTGCCGTTTTCTATTTGTATCGGGAAACCAATAATAAATTACATATGAGGTTAGAGGTGTAGCTGATGAAGTTTGTGGTTTATGGCAGATAACCTCCGCCCTTGTTCAGCCAAGTGATAAGAGAAAATACATCAATTGCCCTCCGGTGACAAACATATGACTCTTCATTTCCCCTGAATCGCACAAGATGTCAACAGTCGAGGTGGATAATTGAAAGTGACACCGAGAAATCAAAGCACTTTACTGTGGAATTATCTCGTCGTTTTGAGAATAGTTTCCCAGAGAAATTACTCCATCTCCCAGCATTGTGCCGTGGCTTATCTAGGGTAATTTGTAAAAGTTGGATAATACTGGGTGGAATTTTCAGTACTCCAGACATCCGTCTTGAGAAAATAAATAAGCGAAACAAGATATCCTTGCAACACTTGCAAGAATTTAATTAGTGTCACAGAAGAGAAGAGTTGCAGGATTCGCGAGGATGCAATCAATTAATTCTGTTTGTATTACTACATGAGAAATATTTTTCTGGAACCTTCGAGCTTCACTCAAATATGTGGCATGATACATTTTCGCTAGCTGCACATATATATGTAAGTAAATATGAGTTTTATTATATATGTTTTGTGTGTAATTACATATATTAGCTACAAAATTGCCACTTGTTGCGGTTCTTCTAACCTATTGCGCAGAATCACATTGGGCGCAGCTAAAGCGCCTTTGAGGCACATTCGAAAGCCACACTTTGACTAATAACAAAGAGTCTCAGGAATGCCCTGTGCGTCAAGGGTTTCTTTGGCACATCAAAGATGCCCACTTGACCCATTAATATATGCTTTGGAGCCTACGGCTTTGCGTTTCTGGCATCTCACGCATCTGATCGGGGGAAAAAACTCATTTTGATAAATGGCTTTCCCATCAATGGGTGTGAGACAAGGGCGTGGGTGTGCTTCCTCAGCAGATGTGCGTATGGCGAGGCCCTGTTTGTGGATTTTTGCATAAATCTCAAATGCCAGCATCGCGCGTGTTTGGATGAATTGGGGGAAAATTTATGTGCATGCCTACAACTATCTGGGCGGCTCATCGGCCAGCACGATGTCCTGATAAAACAATATGAGGTAAATTAAATTAATGCAGCAATGGTGTTTTCATGAGGGCGAGCGAGGCTATCGATGGGGGATGTATTTTTTCTGGCCATCGAACAAACCGATCAACCTAATGGACCATTGAATGATTTGACAGTATCCCATTTTGCACACCCCCTGGAAATTGTAGTGGATCCTTCAGGTCCGCCTCAGCCGCGCGTGAGAAAGTGGAAAATATGCTGTGCCTGATTCATATAATTTGATTTTGAACACATCAAATTGGTCTATTTCGGAGAGAGAATATAACTTTCCCGCAGTCGAGGGTGGAAAAGTCCCACCCCCAAGTTTTGTACAGCTGAAGCGCGGTGTGGGACGCCTCGCTGTCACCTGAACATGCTGGTAAACATTTTCGCAGTCAGTATATAGGAGCTTCTCGGTGTGAATGGCCAAACATAATTAAATGGCATTTGTGCCTTGCTAATGTGTAAAAATAAATCAATAAAAGTAGATTGTTCAATTGGCTGTTGAACCTACCGTACTAGTCGTATTTGGCAATTAATTTCCGCTCCAGATAAATCCTATTTCCCGGTGTTGTCCTGTCTGTGCGATAAGTGCTAATTGCCGGGATAAATCGCACCACACTATATACTGTTCTGCCTTTGCGCTGCTTCGACGTACAGCCACTTAGGAGAATTTCGCCACCCCTTGTCTCAACACAGTTCAACGGTAGCGACCACTTTTTAATATTCTGTTACTTCACGCGCCACAATTTGGTGGTTTTATGCGCCATCGCCAAATGAGGAAGGGGTTGTCGATATTCTTCTCACTTACCGCCCGCGGGGTGAGTGAAAAATTCATAATTCTTTCCCGCCACCGAGTGAACAGACGCGAGTTTGCGAAGGGGATGAACTTCACTTCCGCCCAAAATCGCGCACCCCAGCGAACCTGACCAGGATTTCGGCGGGTGGCGGCGTCAGAGGGAATTGTATAGACAGTGCCGAATACAAATTTCAGTATTGCCCGCCGAACAAGATATTAACACCAAGTGGTGCACTCAATTTACACACCATCCGTTTCCGCCACTCCGAGAGTACTAAACTGGGACATCATAAAGCTCCTCGATCTTGCTTCTTACCCACCATTCTGCAAGTGCGCAGACCTTCCCTGCCCGTCCAAGGGGTGATTACAGAGAGCGAGAGAGAGAGCGAACGTGCTCGCTGTGTCCCATGATAGCTTCGCTAAAATAAACATTTATGCGAAACGAAAATTTGTGCCGTAAATCACAAAAATAGGGGTTTGCGCAGTTGGGCAGAGCTCAACAAGTTTCGGTCACTCGTCACAATTTCCTACTTTCAGTTCCCATCCGAAGAAGGATGACAGTCAAGTGCGCCACTCCGGCAAAATCGGAGAGAGCGCGAGAGAGTCCGCCAAAATATTTCCCCGTATATTTCAGAGGCAAAAAGGTAAATTCATACACTGCGAATTTCGCTACTCTCTGGCGGTGTTCATATTTAAAAATTTTCCACCATCTCCACACTCAATCTGTTGCTGACATCAAAGCTCGCGCGGATGCCGCAAGAAGACAACTCGACAAACGGTTTCAACCTCGGTTTCAGCAAAATGCAACTTGGCAAATTAATTATCTTCAGTGGAATTTATTGTCACACAAGTTTCACTGAAGTTTGCCCATTACCACCAGGAGCTCGGTCTGGCGGATCTGTTAATTACAAGTAAATTGAACGTACATCATGCCCGGTATTCTAAAACCCCACTGAAGCTGACTGGGGGTTAATTGAACTCGCTCATCGCGATTATTTATTCACAAAAAAAACAATTACGCGGCATTGTGCTCTCGGAAATGAGGCACGTGTTTCAGATTTTCAAAGATGCTCCAAAATAATGCAAAAAACTCAATTTCAGCAGACAATAAAAAGCTTCTAGTTTAATCAAATATCCGCTCTATATATTCTCTTTAATTTCTCTGTTTCTTTCCCCAGAAACTCTCAGCCTTAAGCAAATTCTTTCTATGAAGCCATGTTTAATACTCAAAGAAATCTCACTAACCACGAAGATTTTCTCATAAACTTTTTTTTAATTCCATTTTAAAAATTGCATAATCACAGTGATTCCTCTCCTAAGTTTTGTTTGTAATCAGCACTAAAACAGCTTCTTAACATAACACGCGGAACATGATATTGAGGAAAACTTTCGCTAATAATACTGTTCTCAGTCACTGTCAATTATACATATCTTACTCTCTTGACACATGAGAGTTGAGTAATTGGGAATTTTCATTAGCTGCATAAAGAGGTAAATTAGACCTTCGATGTTGAATGGCTTAGTGAGTTAACCCTTGGATGTGACGACAATTCTCGTTGAGAGCTTGAAGAGCACATGAATTTGGGGAAACTTCAGACACGGATGATGTAAACATGGGAGAAAGATAAAGTTTATTCTAGTGCAACATCAATAATATTTTGGTATTTTGTGTTATGCACATAAACTGTGTGCACATAGTGATTCTGCAGCGGGAGAGCACATCATATTCCACAGACACAGCACCTTGCAAATGGGTTCACTGTCTCATCCTGTCCATAATCCTCATTTTCTTCTCACCCGTTCGCCCCCAATACTTGCCACTCTTGAAACTATGTAGTGCATGTCCCACATTAATTGGAGTTAAATGAAAATTTGTGCTTCGTCTGGTGCATAAATTGTATTACGGTGTGGTGGTTTTCATTTTTATATCACCTGCCATTCTCATTGCTTGTATACATACTCATATTCCGCAAAATAATATCGCTTACACCCCGACTTCGGGGTTAAAACCAGGGAGAATGTGTAGTAATTAAAATTTTATTGATATCATAAAGCAGGTTGTTTAATTATCGTGTGTGTTCCATGAAGAGACATGTGATGCTGAAAGCTCGCGCTCTTCCTGGCTCTCGTGGCCTCAGATCTGCTTTCTCACGAGCAAACATTAGGATAATTACCACAGGAAGTGTAATGTGAGCAAATTCACTATTTAATCGCAAATTTACAATAGATAGTGCTGCTGTTCCATTGCTGTTACGAAGTCATAAAACGCATTTTTCTCAGCGGAAGTCAGTCACCATATGAAATCTATGCTCGTATGTAACGAAAATTGTGCAATCTCATGAGTTGAACTTCTTTGCCCAGGCGGGAATTGTGCATTCTCCCTCTTTGTGTCGCATTTCAATGTTTCGCAAAAGTAGTACGGCAGTACGGAGCAAAATTATCTTATATTAATCTCAAAGTTTGAATCCTCCAGACGTTGTTTAAACTAAACACATAGATATGTAAACACACTCACACATTTTAATTGGATTACACTGAAACAGCGTCTTGTTTGTTCAACATGAGAAAATGCGCTTCTTCATCCCTTGCTTCCCTGCCATCTAATTATTATCATTGCCGTACATATCAACTTGTTTTTCTCACGATTAACAAATTTATTCACCGTGTTTTGCTCTTACACTCGAGCTTCATTTCATACATCTCTCTCTTTCCCGCTCAAAGGCACGTGAGCACATATTACGCAATCTCAGAAACAAATTGTTTCGGTTAATCTCGTTTCTGAACAATTTGAAATTTCAAATTAACATACATTGAAACGCGTTTCTGCTGCCGTTTAGTTAATTTTAATGGGATTCTACATATCCTTCCTCTCTTGATCTTCAAGGAATGCATGCATATTTCCTCGTAGTACAAATACAAATCCTCTTTGCTCGCATATTTATGTAAAATCTCTAAATAACATTTTTTCACCAAATTCCTTATGTAAATATGTTGCAAAACAACGTCCATCACACATCTTCCATTCATTTTCATTTGTGTCTATTTTCGTGTGGAATTTATTATCTTTGGGAAAACATCTTACAATTTGCACCTCTCTTCTATCGACTAAAAAGGACACATGATAATGACATTCTTCTTTATATACATTCTAATGACAAAATTTTCTTAGTCGGAGTAATAAAAAAATAAACTGAAAATCTCGAATTTACAAAAGAAAATTACCCAGTTTTAGCAAGGAAATTTGCGACACAAGTTTCCGTGTCACTATTTAATTTTGGGACTCTATTTTCCTTTATGTGTGTTCAGTAAAAGAGAAATGAAATAATAATAAACTGTGCATAATGTATATTTACGCGTTTGCGGTGTGTTTTCCTGCTTAAAAAATCTAATTAAAATGGTATGTGTCATTGTAATGGACAAGTTTATTTAATTAATTCATTTATTTTACCGAGAGCACAATGCTTTTTCCGATGCCCCGTTGAATTGGTCGCGGAGGAAAAAGCTATATAGCTCCAATGTGATCTAGAAAACGTTCTGCATCAGACATTCGTCATTCTATGTAGCGCTAAAATGGTAAAATTGGATTATTATTTTTCGCTGAAAATTTGTACTATTTTTTGTCAATACATTTTCTCCCTAAGTCAGTTCACAGTTTGATTTTTTTCTTGAAGAATTCATTACAATCTATGTATGTCACCAAATTGATATTGAAAGCAAACGAAGGAGCTTCTGCATGGGGAGAAGAAAAAACTGATGAAACGGTAGCGAATTTCGTAGGAAAAAAGGAGAATTCACCGCTTGAGAGAATTAATCGAAGACTTTGGCATCTTCTGTTGATTTTTAATTAAAATTTCCCCGTAATTTATCCCCTTATCCACACTTTCTCTGTGTTTTAATGAATTTCTTATATGCAATTTGTGCATTTTTCTCATTCGCATCCTGTACAAAGCTTTTTAATTGTTTTCACGTCCGTGACGCGTACATGTTCCCTGAGTAATTCGCAAAAGGGTCTCGTGAAGTGAATTCAATTTTCTTCCATCTCACCACATTTGGAATGTCAGCGAGGCGTGTGAAATGCAGAAAGCTTTCACACAAAGACGTGAAAGGAGGCTGATTGCGCGTAAACCGAGGATCCCTGTGGAGAAAATTGAAATGCAATGTTAAGGACAATCACGAAAGGACGGTTCACACAGTCAGGAAGCGAGTGCCCTTTGTATGATTTATGGATGACAAGTTAAATTACGTCAGAGAACCTGCTGCACAGGAGTTCTGCGATGCATTCGTTGCCGACTACAAAGTTGTGGAAGCTCTTGCAGCAAATGCTGTCGCGTGTTTCACCGAATTAACGTGCTACTAAATCATTTTGCACGCGCGCGTGGATGTTTTGTATCAATTGAAAAGAAAGAAAGAAGTGAGATATAGTATTTTTAAAAATAACTTTCCATTACACTTTTTTCGTCCCTCTATAGTAGACGAATTTGAAATGTAACCATACTTTCTTGTGGAGAGGAAATTGCTTTGGGGACTTGAGATCCTATCGGAATCCTTTGTGTCTTCAGAGTCCCCTAGAAAGTCCCCCGTGCCGCCCCATACATAATGCCAATACAATTTTATTTTAGGTGTTATTTCCTCTCCGCCTTTTGTATCAGCACAGGCACACGAAGTATTCCACTCAATATGTTTGCTGTTGGCTGGGGGTTTAGCAAATATTTTGCAATATGACACCGAAATTGGGACAAAAGAACCAACACAAGGACCGATCATAAATATTTACATGGATGACTTCCTTGTTTGATGAAAATTAATCAACGCACATTCGCCTTTCGCCAGACATTTCCGGGAATCTGTTTCCATTTCTATGCGGCAGCACAGGTTCACCCAAATATACGTATTTTGCGAAGGTGGGAAAAGAGCAAAGGCTGCACTCTCTAATTCACTGCTGAGCGGTGAAATAATTGGCATTCGCAAAACAGCACTGAAATGAATTAAACTTAACAGAAACATTTGCCCACGGGCAGAAATTGAGGGCAAATGAGAGTAGATGATGCTGATGACAGCTGCCTGAGGCATGATAATAATGTTGGGGGTGAAATTTGCTAATTATTTTATCAGAAACTCAAGTGTATACAAACATTGCAGTTGGAGAAACTGTACTAATTACATATGTATGTTCACAAATAGCACATAAGCATAGATTACTATTGCGTACTAGCAAAAGTTGTGCCAGCTTATTCACAAATGGAATTTCTACCAGTTTTTCCAGTCAGAATATTTATGCACATATTCATACATGATCGCGCTATTGTTTCATAGTTGCATTAATTAATCAAAAAGTTTTATGAAAGTGCAACACTCCTAAATGATTCGCGTTGCACTTCGTAAATCATGGTTCTCATGAAATTCAATTAAATTGATTACAGACAGGGATTTAATTAAAAATTAAATCAACATTTTAATTTGTGGCAGGTATGCCTAATGTCAACAATTGCTTGTTTACATAATTGCTAATGACTTTTCGTACATAATTTAATATATGTGGGAGTGAGTACACTTTTGCTGCCGATGCTGCGAGCACTTTTGGGATTCGCCAAGTATTTGAGAGTTGAGACCATTAGGAGAGGATCAAGCATCATTACATAGTTTCTGCGCTCTGGAGGAATGTTTAGATGAATATTCCCTATGCTGCTCTCGTGAGGGGAATTGCGGACAGAGAGTTTCGAGCTAAGAGCTATGCTATTCCGAGGGGATTCTATTGCGTTCTTGTGATTCTCAGAATACATATGCTAAAAGCCCACTATTACCGAGGGGATTTCTGCAGCTCTATGAAAATTTGTCCACAATCAATCGCTAATGCCACCAGATTAGCCACAACTCCCCCATCAATCGACCAGAAACCCTCCTGGAGGACCCACCCTGAGACACTGACTCGATAATCCGTCTGTGAGTCAATATTATGTCTGGAAAAATATTTTATGCCCGGAAGGATAAGACAGGCGAAAGCCAGGCTGCCATACATGTTGTTGGTGTTTGCCGCAGGGATTTCCACTATGATTATCGTCCCTGAAACTTCCTCTCACTCATCTCGCTCTCGCCACACTGTCTTAATCCAAATTATGGCATCATGAGTGAAGTATTGGTGAATGTCGTTTATGTACCGCAAAACCACTTCTCCATTGACTATAATCAAACTCAATGCAACTTTTTTGCACACTTCACCGTCGGCTAGATATTGAGTTTCTGTTTCACCCCTCGTGGTTCAATGGCTCCTGAGGACACACCAAAAAATTCCATTAAGCGCAAGCTGGAGAGCAGAAAAAGTAGACTTTTTTTACGTGTTTGCTGGGGTTTTCTCTCCGCGGTAAACAATAAAACCGCACTTTTCTGGCTGAGGTGAGGCGCGATTCGCGCGCTGAAGAAAAGACGGCTCGCCGCGTGGAGAGGGTTGTGATGTGTACTTGAGACAAAAGAGGTTAACCATTCATGCCGACCCATGAGAAAGCACCTCCTCAATTTTCTTCCGCTCTGCAGACTTCAAAATCCCCATTGTGAACATTGACTTTTCCACGTGCTGGATCCACAAAAGGTTAATTATTTAATTAAAATAGAAAACTTCCACTTGGTGTGGCTCCCAGTCACGCTGGTCTACGCGAAAAGGTGAGCCCTCGAGAGTTGCATATCACCAACCGCGCAATCAATCAATCACTATCAGCTTTTCCGATCTGCCGCCGCAATGCACGCAGAATCTTCAATTTCCTATCGTGGAGAAAGTCCATTTCCGGCCTGTGATTGTGCGAGGAAGGAAGACAGACAGGCGAGGGATTATTTTAGCATAATGCGAATTGTACACAACTGTATGCGTTGATGGCGAACGCCATGAAAAAGTGCTCTAATCGTTGCAATAAATATACAGGAAAAAACTCACAATTACGTGATATTTCAGGCAAAGTGCGAGGAAATTATATGAGAAAAGTTTAAACTAGAAAATCATTGTGAATTCTATTGTGAAAGTTTCTTTTATTCCTGTCAACTAGTTTTTCTTGAGTACTTCCTCGTCCAGTAAGTGAGAATAAGTGCGGTGATTACGGTGTGTTTGGAAGGCATAATCGGAAGTCAAGTTGAGCACCAAGCAGACCTCTAACTTCCGGCCGTACAAACAATCCTGCGGCGTTGTCAGAAATATGAGAAAAGACGTGGTGAAATTTTGTGACTTTTCAGTACTTTCCCAGTGAAATTATCCTCTCTAGACACAGATTTTCCCCAACAGAAGTGGCAGATCACTTTGAACTCAGCACAGAGATTTATGCGCGGGATTTCTTCAAGCGTGGCGAATGAGTAATTTTTTGCTTCGTTTAATTTAATTGAATTTAGCGTTAAAAATTCACAGACTGAGATATGATTTTGCCACTCTTCGTCACAGGGAAGTCAATTGAATTGAAGGGCGACAAGTAGTTGAAAAACCCCTTCTTTCTCTCCTATATGCAAATTGCCATAGGGAGTTTCGCCTAATGGACCAATTCGTAGTGATTTTTTCTCAAAATCTTTTGTGCGTTCTCTTCCAGCTCCATCCCAAATTGGTAGGTGTGTCACACACTTAATTCCCCAGCATTGACAATGAGTGGAAAATGCCACCGGGCGTGGTTTCTCTCTTTTTTTTGCCAATCAATCTGCCAAGGGTGAAATTGCTCATGATGAAGGGGTTACATGAATTTTGCGCGCTTCAGAAACGCGCGCTGGGAGAAATTCAATTTACGGATTTCCGGTGGCTTCTGCCCTGTTTGTGCGTCTGCAGGAAGCACCCCTGTCTGGTTGCCATGGCAAGCAATTACAGAATCTCATGATGCACCTTCAGGGATACTCGTCTGCCTGTTTTGAGGCGGTTCGCAGTCGTTTTCCCACATATTTACAACTACAGGTAACATAATTGTCAAAATAGAGCCTTTCTACAGCTTCTGGCAGCAAATTATAACATCATTTTGATGTTTTCTGTGGATTCGACACAAACACAAATATATCATGATGATTTTGTTGTTGGAAAATAGGTGAAACTTGTCGAGATTAAAAGAAAGGTGGCATTGAAGACATGATTAGAATTCATGTAAATATTAAGTGAGGGGATTTATTGAAGCCGAATTTCTGATCTATCACAAACAATTTCTTATAAGTATCACTTTCTGACTATAAAATTGGCTTTAAACCAAATAATTCCATGTAGTAAGTAAACTTACTAAGTAGCTCAAATTTCAAGTAACATACAACAATATGTATTAATATAATCTTTGATCATTTGCGCCCAAACTGCAAATTCGTAAATCCGCCAGAAAGTCTCCAAAGGCAAATGTGTCTCGGATAAATTTAACGAAACTAACATGCGCCATCTCTCGGTGCTTGTCTTCGCTACACCGGAGCAAGAGTTTGCCGAGCGCCCTCTAGAGGAAACGGTTGGGAGTAGAGAAAGGGACATTATGGTTATTCTGACGTTGGAACGTCAGAAGCAAAGGCTGCTTTTGCTCCATATCGTATTTACTTCATTTGCGTTCTGATACGCTCGCAGTCGCATTTCTCTCATTAAAACCGAAAGTATTTATTTATAGAGGTGCTGTGCAGTGGCTTCAGCGATGCCTACATCAGAGCCCGCGTCGTCCTGAGTCGCGATACGCAAATAGACCAAACAGACGGCCCCAAGTGAGCTCGTGAGTGCGCGAGTGTGAGTGCTGGAGCGTCGCCTGGCGCTCACGAAGCGCCCCGCGGACGCGTGAGCCGCGCCGAGGCCCGCGGAGTGCCATGAAAGTGACTGTGGACAGCTTCCCGTGCGGATAAATGAGTCGTCCGTGGGGCGATTATGGTGGCCCTGGACATGAAGAAGAGTGTCTCAGTTCAAGTAGGCAGTGACTTCGCCCTGATTCTGCCCGAGGGACTCTACGAAATCACGAAGATGGAGCCCCGCTCGCGCCAGCGATCCATTGTGATTGCCTGCGTATTCCTCGCCATCGCCGGAATGGTCATCTTCGGATACTTCTGCAATGACCAAGTAAGATTTCGAGTCTTGAGCGTTAACCATTCCCGAGGGGTTCCTAATATCACTTTCGAGTGACTCGCGTGAATCTGTGATGCTCAGCAGTCAATATTTACCATCTCAGGTGTGCGCTCTGACCAAGAAGGAGATGATGATGAGCTCGGAAGTCTCCGCACTCACGTCAGACGCAGCGAACTCGATTGGAAAGTCGCCGATGCAGCTGAACAATCCGGGATTGAGTTACGAGGAGGTCCTCAATGACGACGACTTCCAATTCGATATGGACGCGCACGATGTGATGGTGTTCCTGCACATCCAGAAGACCGGCGGCACATCTTTCGGCAAGCACCTCGTACGTGACCTGGACCTCAAAGTGAGTATCGCGCGGATGTATTTACGGGCCCCTGGAGAAGAGGGAACGGCGCGAGTCTCATTTGCATGTGGTGTCAAATCATTGGAGCGCAAAATAATTCTCCTCTGCCTGTCTCTGGACGGCTGAGCTTGTGCGGCTTTGGGCTCTGCAGTGATTCTCCACCCTCGATTGTGGCTCTTGGCGGCCTCCTTTCCCGCCTCCCTGGCGGCTCTGCATGATGATAAATTAGAATTCAAGGCACAAATACCATAAAACATCCGATGATCAGCTGCAAAGTGTGAGGAAAGACACGGAAGAGCGAGAGGAGCATTTAGTAATTCACGCGAGTGGCTTTTATTGTCTCTCCAACCATTCTTTTAAGGCGCGCTTGTCGTCGCCCCAGGATTCAGCATTTCCTGGCAAATCTAGGTGTAATTTTCACAATTTCCCCCTTCATTAAAGCTGAAGATAAATGCAGAGTGCACGCGAAGATTCTCCCAAGTGATCTCTGACCTCGTTGGGAGGTGTAAAATTTTCACTAATTACCGCCTAAAGTTTTGGCATCTCTTGGACGAAAATGTGCGTGATAAAGACGAATGGGTTTTTAATAGAAGCGGCTCGTCGGTTGCATTCTCCGAATGCACATTTCCCATTGAGAGGCTCGGCGCACAAAGAATACCAAACAAATCGACACGATGTGACTTTATGGACAGAAATAGACAAAGTGTGAAGGAGAGATGAGGATATGAAGAAATAATATAAACTCTCATGTCAATATCTTGAAGGTTCGCATGGAAATTCACCGCATTTCAAAATGATGTGTATATGGCGGAGGGATTGAGGGTCATAAAAGTAAATTTAACACTCCTCAGCACACCCGCAGTGCTTCTGTCTTTTCCTTAGCGGGAAAATCCACGAGGTTGACGTGAATTTTTTATGCCATCTATGCTGACTTTCCTGGGATAAAAGTAAATCTTTTTGTGACTCGGCCTGGCGATGATATAGAAATTTTCCCATTGCGCGCTTCTGCCTTTTTCCCAAAATAAATATATATTAGTGGTGAAGAACACCGGGGGAAATGCTCCAATTTATTAATGTTGCGCTATTTTTTATTACTAGATCACATGGTAAAATAAACAAAATAACGTTCTTTATTTAATTTTAAGCGCTCTGAAGAATTAAGAATAATTGCGCCACAGCTCATGAGTTACATAAACTCTGCTGAGCTTTACATTGCATCCACTCTGGGTGTTTTGATTTGTGTTTTGGTGTTGTTGACCAACTTCCAAAGGGAAATGCTGGAGAAGCTCTTACGCTATGCTTTCCCGAAGGAAATTCTCAGTCAAATTGCCGTGTTAACGTTTACTTTAGGTAAAGCTGAGTGATTTATACATTGCAAAATCACGGCGACGCCAACGTTTCTGTGCCTTCTATTGCGCTCTCTTTAGACTTGCTAATGATTGAGAAGTGAGTCAAGGGCAAGATTGAGGGGGAACTAGACACGTTTGATTGTAAATACACAACTAATGAGGTGAAATATTGGGTGTTTTATCACGAAAATTTCACCCCATGTTTCTCAAGTTTGTGCTGAAAAGAATGTAATTCCTTTGGTAGAATCTCCAGTTGTGCATTTTATGTTTGTACAAATAAACACTGAAGTATTTCTTCATAGCAGAAAACATTAACAGCTTTTACAAAAGGCTTCAAAGTGAATATTTTGTACGAAATTCGTGAAAGAGGATTGTGGTTTGCTGAAAGCAAACTCTTCTCTTTTCTCGTCTGCGAAAAAATCTCATCATCCGCTGTGAATTTGGGCCACGCGAAGGACTTAAAAATTAACGGACTGTCATTTCATACCTCTTCTGTTATCTCATTATCCTCTCGATTGGCGTAATTGCTGGCATTTGGGGCGTCCAGAGAGCTCCTGCAATGGACCTTTTTTGCGAGTTAAATGTGCCGAAAGCGCGGTAATGATGCTTTGTCTATATAGGCTTAGCGTGAAATAAATTGTCTGAAGCGCCATAAATGGTGTTCGGGTGAATTTTCACGCTGCGCAGCGGTTTGATGGGGTGAAAGTTTAATGGCATTCACCCCTGTTTTGCAGCCTGTTTTCAATTTTTGACAAATAATTCAATAAATATTGATTAGCTATCAAAATATCGCGCATAATGCTTAACACTTTTGCGTGCACTTGTGTGCAGATTTTGTGGCGCTCGACATGCGACTATTGTTCGAGAGAGAAATTCCTCGCGTGAGGAAATCAGCATTTTCCGGCGAGAATTGTGTTACTGAACTCACACGACTAACCAGAGCTCAAATGGGGGATTGTTTTTGTTTTAATGAATTTCGACTCTTCATTTCAGCGTCCGTGCACGTGTCAAAGGCGAAAAAAGCGCTGCCACTGCTTTCGGCCGCATCGCAATGAGATTTGGCTGTTCTCGCGCTACTCAACGGGCTGGAAGTGTGGCCTTCATGCCGACTGGACGGAGCTGACGAGCTGTGTGGATCAGGAGTTGGACAAGAATGAGGGTGAGACGACGAAGAGGCGCTACTTCTACGTGTCACTGCTGCGGGAGCCGATTGCGCGGTACCTGAGTGAGTTCAGGCATGTCCAGCGCGGCGCGACGTGGAAGACGTCGCGTCACTGGTGCCTGGGCAGACAGGCGAGTGCGGCAGAGCTGCCTGCTTGCTATTCTGGGGAGAACTGGATGGATGTGCAGCTGGATGAGTTTGCGGCGTGCGAAAGCAATTTAGCAGCAAATCGACAGACGCGAATGCTTTCGGATTTGGCGCTTGTTGGCTGCTACAACAAGTCCTCAATGCCGGCCGACGAGCGAGACCGCGTGATGCTGGCGAGTGCAAAGAGGAATCTCGCCTCCATGGCGTACTTCGGGCTGACAGAGTATCAGAAGATTTCCCAGTACATCTTCGAGGAGACATTCAATCTGCGCTTTGCCATACCCTTTGAGCAGCACAATACAACCGTATCGACGACGACAATGAATGATTTGAGCCCGGAGCAGAAGAGGCGAATTGAGCAGCTTAATTCACTTGACATTGAACTCTATGCCTTTGCCAAAAGGCTCCTCTTCCAAAGGTGAGTGAAGTCATGCCAGCCTCCATGGCGATATATAGTAGAATTTACGTACAAAGAGCGACAGGAAGAGATTGTCCCCGCATGCAATTTCAACCATTTAGCCAATTTGTGCTTATAAACTCACATTGAATGTCCTCTATGGGATTTTCCCGTTCAAGTGCTTTCACCCTCTCTACAAATGGGCTCAATTTGCCTCTTGTCTCCACCTTTATTCCACAGATTTGAGAAGCTAAAGGCCAAAGATGTGGACTTTGAAGTGAGATTTGCACACTTGGGCAACCTAGGAATGCGAAATGGTGTGACAGAGTTTAACTGGGACAGCAATATTGAGGATACAAGCACAGAGCAGCAATAAGGGCAGTGATTACTGACACCAGACCTCCGTGGCAACCACAGTGATATTTTATCGGGCGACTAACAACTTCACCGAAACGAGAGCAGCTTTGAGGAGAAGGTATATTTTTTAAGAGTAGATTTCTATTTATTGAACTATCACGTCTTAGAATTGAATGGGAAGTGTGCGGAAGATGGTTTGACACTATCTGTGCACCGGAACAACATTAATTTATGTGACGGCGTTTATTTGTCCGCTTGCATGAACGGAGAGGGAGAGAGAGAGAGAGAGCTTCTCATTCAATTTATATTTTTCAAGCCAAAAAGAAGATAATGTAATGTAAAAATATACATAATGAGAATAGAACGAAGAATATTCAGTTGATACGCATATTGCTATAAGGTATATTGTTAGGAAGTAACACAAGAGACACGACGAAGTGAGTGTGAATGTGTACAAATGAATGGGAGGATGTGTTACTATGTAATAATATAGTTGTAGGAAGAGATATTGAAAAACACACAAGCACTAATTTGATACAATGATGAAAATGGAACCTATTGAGGCCTCTTTTATTGAAGCAACATCGCCACCAGTGTTTGACTACATAAAATTGCCATTTATTTTTATGTGAAATTAAATAACACATGCGAGAGACACTTTGGCGCATTGAACCGCATTCTGTGGGACATAAATACTGGGCGCAATTTGTCTCAATTCTTTTCGCACAACTCTCCATCACAGCCATTATTATTAGCCATTTAGATTGGGTGAGATTAACAACAGCATAACTAGCAAACAACGATGACCGAATGAAATTTACTCAATAGGAGGAGGAGAATATTTTTTCACCATGAGCAGTAACAATTACGAAGAAAGTGTGCAAATTGACGTCTTTATACAAATAATATTATTGAGTGATGTTGCATTTGGGATTTAATGTAGGCTATACTTTTAGAGGGGTGACAATAATAACGGAGTACGAAGCCAGATGTAGGAATAGAAGTATGAGTATTTCATTACCATTTTCTATCAGGTGATTAAAATTTAAAAGAAAGTTTGTAGAGAATAAATGCAAAAAATATTGTGAATGAAATAAAATACAACCACGTAGAAGAAAGGTTTTATAGAGTTGAGAACAATGTTCAACAAACAAATTGTAGTGTGAAATGCAGAATTAATGAGATTATGAGTAGTTTTAGATAACTTTTTGTTTTTTTTTAATGAATTTCCTTTGACATGCGAACATTTTTTTTTAATTATACATAGGTTGTACATATTCAACAGATCTGAAATGCAAAACAAAATACATCTCTATATAATTATTGTAACTGAATGAGATTTTAGAGGTTGAAAATTTGCGCCCTCTCGAAAATATTACAGTCGGTTAATTTGGAATCATGGCAATTAAAAGAGACTCATTAGAGAAAATCATGGTCTCGCCGAAGGCTTTATCTTCTCTCTTGCATCCCCCTTTTTACGTATTTTATACTCTTTTAATTACTCTCGCAATTCATAAGAGGGTTCAACTTGTGTATTTCCTTCTCTTTGTGTCCTTCGTACAGTTGCACTAATTTAATTTTTGCCATAAAGAGTAAATCTACCACAAAATCCGTGAATTTCTCCAACTGCTGAAAAATACGTATAAATGCGCGTGTTGAATGACAAAGAGAGAAAAAAAAGGAAGACAAAAGAGCGGTTTATTCTATGGCAATGCCACTTGAACTCTCGTCCCCTTGTTTTGCCATTCGTTCCGTGGTGTAAAAGCGACTCTCGCTTCCGATCTGAGGCGCGTCTTTCTCCGCAATAACACACAATTGCCGCCATTCTCTAGGCCTCTCAAGAGCAAACAGCATCTTCGGATGTTGATGGGGAAGATTACGGCGTTGCCCATTCCCAGAATTCGCTTCTCACATCGCAGCTAATTGACTCGATATGAAAGTCTTAATTGAATCAAACTGACTGTGAATTTATTAAGAGGGCGAAGTGGTTGAAGATTCTCTGCCTAACAACTTGAGTCTCTCTGAAATCCCAGTGACAAACTCTTCCCGCCAATTTCTAGGCTCATTTATAAAAGTCTCACTATCATTTTATAAATATACACAATTCTTTTGAAGCGATATTTACACAGTCATTCCCTGTTATCGACGTTACTTTTTATCACAATATTATTCGTATAAATATTTTCGCTCGTTTCGCCAATTCCAGGAAAATCTCTCTATGAAGTGTGAAAATGTTTGAACACAAATAGCCGTGGGCAGTTTAATATTAAATCAATCTATTGAGCTTTATGATTTAGAATATTCATGAACTTGTGCATATTATTGAGTAATTTTTCCTCCGTCTACTAAGCTCGCTCATGGATTAATTTTTTGATTTTCATCACATTTGCATAGATTTCTGCAGTCATGAATTCTTCTAAATACATTGCAAAATTGTATTTTTAGACTAGATAACCTGTGTCGACCCGAAAGACGGGGAAAAAACTTGTGAAAACGGATTGGGAAATGATGTCTTATCAGAAATTGAAATGCAAGAGTTCGCAAAAAAAACCGCCATGCGACTGTACAGGTCAGCGAAATGTATGAAAAAAGAGGGTTTAATTGAAAAATGAGTGAATGACAGTGTTAATGGTATTTTGTGCCTAATTATTCAATCACTTTGTCAGCCGTCTGACCTCGACTTGACATTTTAATTAATAATTAGAAATTTGCGTGTGACTTGTGAGCGTCGCGAGTGTATTTTTCTGATAATCAACACAGCATTCAAATGAGTTTGTGTAGTTCGCGTACAAGCATTTCTTGTGTATGCCGGAAAATTTCACTTTCTTACAGCGTTCAATCAGTGAGTTTTTTTTTGCTGAGGAAAAGAAATTCTTTATCGCAATTTGACAAGGGAATAAAATGACTAATCGATTTTGCACTCACAAAGCGTGATGGGAAAATTTATCCTTCCAATTCAGAGTCTCCCTCCTTCTTTTCTCTATTGAGTCTGTGTAGATTCAATTGGCTGAAGATTGTATGAATGTTCGATAAGATTTTCTGGTCATTTACATATACTTATATATTATAAAATTTTATATATACTTTCCAAGTATGAAAAGTTATTTTTAGTATGGATTGTAATGAAAGATGAGTCATTGTATTAGATGTAAATTTATTTTAGTGAGATTTGTTGGAGCAAACAAATCATTTTACCCAATTTGCTATAAGAATTCCTCTTTTTAAAACGATAAAAGTGTAAATAAATTGTAAGAATTTGAAGAAAACCTGTGTTTTTTGTGATCGTCAACTGAATTCAGCTTCCTAACAAGTCTTTGCCTCGCTTTTCCTTGAAATAGCAGTGTTATCTCAAGTGTTTTCTCTGCAAGCAGTTCTCGTGTTGAAACTTTCTGCAGTGATGGAGAGCCAGAATATCTTTCTTGCACGCTCAGAAGATGGAACAAGAGGTAAAAACACGTTGTACGCACATAAAATAAGTTTTAATTTAATACTCTTCCTCACTCAATTAACAATGTTGTTAAGAATCCCGCCAGGAATTTGATAGGAAAGTCAAGGAATGTGATGTAAATGATTTTAGCAGTTTAGAGAATGTGAAGAGAGGCTGAAATGCACAGGTAAAGCTCGTGACACGATGATTGTGGCGTCATCTAGAGGAGTGACTGCTCCAGCATGATCTTCTCGAAGCCCGGCGGCGGCGCGTGGCTGAAGTTGTCCAGGAGGATGTCCAGCACGGCGCCGTCGTCGACAAAGAGCGCAGGGTAAACAGTTCCCCGGACATTGAGCATCGGCACCTCCAGATTCCGTCCGTTCAGGTAGAAATTCAGCTCAACGTGATCGAATGCCACGCCAATTGTGTCCCCCTCGGCGGGCAGACTCCCCGTCTCCACCTCCTTCGGCTCCGCCTCCGGCGGCTTCTCCTGCAGCCGGTACACCTCCTGATCGCCGTGCCAGATGATGTTGTCCGACCCCAGGCACCACGACTCGGCGTCCAAGCCTCCTCTGGGCCTGTTGAGATCTGTGTTGCGCGTGGCCAGACCCACGGACCAGTGGCCGCTCTGCTGCACCTTCACCTCGAAGTACGACTTGGACTGCACGAGGGGCGCCGTGGCCAAGACGCCGCCCGAACCGCAGACTCTCTGGCCGTTCTTCACTATCACAACTTCGTGGCCTGCAGAAGCAAATCGTGTTACCAACGCACAAAGGGGCTCTCAGTGAGTCTGCTTACCCATGTGAGTGGTGTCTAGGTGGATGAGGTTCTCCCGGGGGCGCACAGTGACCGTCTGAGTGGCAAAAGCATCCCCCAAACAATTGCGCAAACAACAAAACATACGGAAGCTATCTAATGCCACGAGATCACTGAAAATGCCTCTTAGCCCGCCCACGGGGTGTCTAGGGGTGCAAAACAGGTGAAAATATGCAGAGATGCATGAAAATCAGCCCCAAAACATTGTCTTTTCACTTTGCAGATGAGGTTATGCCACTTAACGAAAGACAAAAGCCGCTAATGCTCGCCACCAGAGGCACTGGTTGCGATCGTGCAAGAAAGGGCGGGAAAGTTGAATCTAACGAGAGTCTCGAATAAACAGACAAATCATCAAATCATTCTAGAAAAAAGGAACTGTTTTTGTGTTAATATCTTTATTTCCCCATTTTTGGACCCTATACAATGTTAATAGAGCTAATGAATAAAGTACTTCTATCAGGTAATACAATCATACTCCAAATAAACCTTTATGTATGCCTTGTTTTTCTTACTCTTGGAATGCTATACCTGCTTCTTCTTTATAAACAGTTTAATAATCCTCAATTGCGCGTGTGAATTGTAATTGATGTTCTTCTAACATGTCGGTCGTGCAATAGGGACTGGATTTATTATCGCTATTTTATCGTTTTATACTTTGTTTATAATTCAATTACTATTATACCATCCTTATTAATTGAAAGAATTTTTTTTTAAATAATGTAAGGCCATTCCGTTCTGAATTGAATTTGTGGTAGTCGTTTGTCTTCACTTTACTTCTTTTCTTGTTTGCCTATAACACTATTCTGACTTTTCACTTTTTTACGAGATTAGGGATTATCATAGAGATTTTTCAAAATATCAACCATCCGAATTACTTCGAAAAATAATGCAATGCAACGTAGAAACGATTCTGTAAGAAAAAAAAACGACACACCAAGGATAAATAAAGAAAACGTTTTGCCGAAGTGCTTTTGCAAAATTATGACAAAGAAAATAAAGTGACAAAGTTGCCCAAAAATTGCTGAAAATATAATAAATCGAAAAATATATAAACAACTGAGTCAGTTATTACAATCATCAATTTTATTCCTTAATTTTTTATGTTTATGATTCTAGCAGCAATAATTTTCAAAGTACCAAATGTTGCATTCAAAGTACTCTTCCGTGTAATTCAGATTATACAAATCAATGTTGTTTTTTTTTCTCTTCTCTCTTAAATTAAATTTAGGAATATTTAAATTGACAGAATCTGACATTTCGTCTGTGAATTGCCCTTGGCAAATTAATGATTTTACAACAATACTTTGCGATAAGTCACTTGATGTCTTTTGGTAATTAATTTTTTTTTATTTGACTAGGTTAAGATAAATTAAATAATTTATAGCAATTACAATAATAAAAATTATAGTCTTCTGTTATTCTTTTTCTTTTTGGTTAGAGAAACTTTTTGTGCTGCATTTAATGCGTGAATGATTTTTCTTTTCCGGTGAATAAAAAAACAAGTGTGATGATGATAACAAAGGGTTTATCTCGGGAGAATCGTGTTATCAATTTTCCACCCCTTATCGTTATTTATTGCATTGGTTTGCTTTATTGAGAGAACCAACGAGATTAATTTTGCTATACTTTTAATTGCTGCACAAATCAATATCTTAAGTCAGATTGTACTACTGCTGTATTTTATTTATACCATAAACTAATTGTAGATAATCGCAAGATTCACACGCAAATGTTTTTTCACTGAAAAACGTGTTCTGCTGTTCCTTTTTTTTCTTCAATTAAATAAGAAGGATCACATTTCACAAAATGTTATCATAATAGAAATTAAATTTCGGGAAAAGTGAAGCTTTCTTCGTCGGCTTAAGGATTGTCGTAAAAGAATTTTTCTAAGCACTGAAATATGATCCTCAGTCATGCATTTATTTATTATGTTAAATTCTGTTCATGTCAATTGATTCATTTCCCGTCTTTAATTCAATAAGATAATAATATATATTTTTAAACATTTTTTTTTTGTTCATATCATTGATTTAATTGTAATAGTTCTTATTTCCAAGAGAGCCTTACGTGTACATATTTCATTTTTATTTACTTCTGTCACTTTAAACGCCATATTGTATTCTCATTACCTTGAAATAATTTCAGTGAATTATAACTTTTATCGTCAACGTATACAAAGAAAGGGGTCGTATATTTGACAGAGTACTTCTACAAGTACAGAAACTGGTAAAGAACAAGACAAGACCTCAAGAAGTTGGTGAAAGAAATTAAAAAGTCCAATGAATACTTGACATTTTCTTCTTTATTTTTATCATTTGGTAATTGTCTGCCTTTTTCTAAATGAGATTTCTTGTTCATTATTTATGCATCTTTGAACAAAATTTAGCATATTTTCATCATTCATAAGAAATATGTTTCACCATCTTGTCAATTACATAATTTAATATTTAGTATATGAATTGGATGAATTGTTTTACTGCTGTCTCTCTCGTATATAATATATTTTTTAATAATTTTGTTGTGTTTTCTCTAGATTCTTTAATCATTTTTTACTTTTCTTTTTTTGTTGCTGCTGATAATTAATTTATTCCTTCTCTTTCTCATCAAAATTACATCAATGCTTAAATTCTATATAATAATATATATTTTTAGCCGTTCAAAAGATACAGATTTCTTTTTATCAATAATAAATATGTTGTATAATAGCTTTTTCACTATTCCATCTATTTATTTTCATTATTCCATCTCTTACACATCCTGTTTTTCTCTCACTATCTCGGCTTCCTTTTAGTATAATTAGTTGTAATAATTTCATAATATGATCGGGCACGAATTGATATGTTTCAATTGTTCATCAAAAATGTTTCTCACCATAATGATTCATTATTATTCACTATATAATGCTCCTTCTTTGACAGAGACGCTATTCTATCATTTTAGTTAGGTAATATCATATTAACTATGTGTGATTTCCAAGTGTTTTTTACTCGCCTTTCTTGTATTTTTTTTCTCGACTGTTGCTGTCTTATGATGGTGTAGATTTTGCATTCCTTCGTGTATTACTTTTTCCTTGATTGTATCACAATAGGTTTAAAATGACACGCAATAGTTTCTCAGAAATTTCTTCGCTGTTTTTCGCTTTTGCCATTACAATTTCATATAATTTTGCTCATCCACATTGCCGCTATCATATTGGAACTTTTCACTATAATTTTTTTTTTCATTTTAGAATAATGCTAAATCCATCTCAATTCACTGGAATTTTTTCTTTTCCCTCATTTTTTTTTCAAATTACTGTCATCGTTCTTTTATCCTTCTCATTCTTTCTTCTCTTCTTTTCTTTTGTGTTACAGTAATACATAAAGTAGAATATAAGATATCGTATAATGTGTATAAATATTCATTTCACCATCTTTTGTCTTACAAATTTTCCTCTTTAAAAAACTTTTAAAACCAAAAAAGTTGATATGTATCTTTGAAGTTCCCATTATTTAATATTTCATGTGTGTTTCTTTCACAAGTTCCTTGATCTTGTTATTAAATATTTCTTAAATTATACAATATTTTATCATTATCTCATCTTCACTACCTTTCCTCCATTCTACGCCTTACATTTAACATACACACACACGTATGCAGCGGTTTCCATCTCTTTCACATCTTTTACGACTATTATAATAATTAATTTGAATTGATTAATTCATCATTGGCCGGTGTAAAAACCCGGCGACTACACACTGAATTGGACGGAATGATTAAACTTTAATTACACATTATATTTCTCCCATTTTCCTTCTTTCTTCTTCTTCTTCTTAGTGTCAGATACATTTATTTATTTATTTACTTCAGGGGAAATCATTTGTCATCTCTTCAAGCGCTTCTTCACAATATTGTTCATATTTTCACGTTGGGACAAGGTTGAAAAGAAATCAATTTGAACTTTCTCGAAAATCAAATTATGACAGCATATAAAACATATCAATTAAAACAAATCATTATCACGAACTGAATTATTTCGCATTACTATTCAGTCTTGCTTTTTGTATGAAAAAATTAAAATTTGACGCGAGAAGCAAATGTACAAATTTTTTTTGTAAGAAATAAAGAAACGATGCATTATTATGTATGCTCGAAAACCTTGACCCAACACAGCCGGTAGATTTTTCAAATGTTTGTAGAGAATATTTTTCACCTCTCTAAATGGATTTACGAACTTAATTGCCGTCATCTAATTTTTCTTGAAAGGAATTTTATGTTTCCTCCCATAAAACTGAAGATGAGAAGGTGTTTTATAGCGTGAAACTGTTGCAATTTGATGCCAATTTTTATTCCTTCATCCTCTTAATCACGCGATTTTTCCCCAAAATATTCACCTGCATCCTTCATTACACTAACTTTTCCCTCCTGTTTTCAGTACATCAAGTTAAGGATAGTGGGATTATTATAGATGTATTATGCCATTACAAGATCTTGTTATTAATATGTCTCTTCTCCTTAATTGTTATCTTACGTCTGCCCATTAAACCATACACTTTCCTGTCTACGAATAATTGCTAAAAAGTGTGATGGAATATTTTCATTAAAATGTACGTGTACTGTGTATTTATGAAAATTGTTTGTCTTTGGATTTGAGTTGTTATGTTATACAATTAACTTCTCCTCTCAATGAAAATATCACATCACGTATTTTTCTGCACTCCAATATATCTTAACGCCCTTAATAGAAAAATTGCTAAATATCGTCTATTACTATTCACATTGATTATGTTCTTATGTCAAGAAATTAAGACACTAAAAATAAACTATTCTCAGAGTCATAAAAGGAAAAAAAATAAAACATTTTCTTACTGCCACTGAAAATTGTTGCCACCCAAAAGTTTGTAAAAAAGTAACTACTTTTGGGATGTTCTGTTTTAAAAGCACTTAAAAGCTAAAGAGACTTTGGTTAAATACAATATACATTAAATATTGTTTCGGGTAAGCTTTTTGAAAAAGTCATCATCCTAATCGTCTTATCGCGTCCAAACAATAAATTGGACTCACACACAACTGCTTGGGTTTCTGCATGAAAGACGCAAGAAGAGGTATTCCTTTTATTTTAGGTATAGAGAAAATTCTTTTTTTGAAGATAATAAGCTCTAGATATACATTTATCAATTCTAAAAGTAAATTTTCCTAATAATTTCTTACAATCTAGAGTTAAAATCTGGTTATTTCGTTTTACTCTTCATGACAAAATCATCTCTTTCTTTCCTGTTGATACCTCTTATATCATCTTTCAGGAACTTCCATCTCATGATTCTCTTCCTTGTATTTCTTCCCTATTTTGTTTGGTTGAAGCATTTCTCTATGCACATGGTACTATAAATGTTAAATAATAAACATTTCTAATATCTGAAATGCTCTCGGAATTTTCATTCCTTCCCATTGAGATGTTCTTCAGGGTAGAAAAGTGTTGAAATCCAGTGAGCATTTCGTCTCTATTGGTTTATCTTTCAATATTAATATAAAATGCTGTAGTTCAACTGGGTGCACTTTTTCCTTACTAATTTCATACTTATTTACATTTAACGCTTTTCTCAATATTTTCTTAAAAAAAAAGAGTTTAAACAAGAACATGCAATATGAATTTATATTCTTCACCTCTACATTGTTCCTTAACCGCCCGCTTATTTTTTCCTAGACTGCTCTAATGTCTCTTATGTTAAGAGATTCTCTTGGTAGCGAACTAAGACTTTCCTTTTTCCTCACAGTGAAATAAATAAATGAAAATACAATCATTTGAAGATAGGTTTAGAGGTAATTTCTTCAGATAAGATCTTACAACACTTAATAATTACTCTCTTTAGAGCTCAATAGTGGTAGTGATATGACAATTTTTTTTATTAAAATTTATTGCTCAGAAATTTCATATTATTTATTGACAGAATTGACCATTCATTTGCATTCACTGTATTTTCCCCACTAATTTTTTCTTTATTAATTGTTAAAAACTCTTTATCCGTCAATTTGTTTTTATGTTGTATATATTTTGTCATATTGGAGGGAGTGCTTGAGAAATAGGTGTAATATTTTTTGAAGAAAATGAACATTCCCAATAGCTCTGAAACCATATATTTTTAGGGATCTTGCCATGCTACAATCGCAACTTTTTTTTTCTCTAAATAAATTATGAAATGAGCCACTTTCGTGGTGTTTTTCACTGTTTCCCCATCATAAAGTTTTTTTTTCTTCTATACTAAAAATGTACACATTAAAGACTGCTTAATTAACACTTTTTCTCTCATTTCTTAGTTCTTCATTATAGGGCACATTTGGTTAAGCTATACAATAGACAATTTAAGGTAATGTATAAGTTTATCTTCTCTCATAACCTCTCTGACCTTCTCACCTACATTCATAATGTCTTTTCTGCTCACACATCACTGTCAATGGTATAAAAATTGCCAGGATGCGTTCATATTCAATAAATATCTTCGTTTTTTTTTTTAGTAGAAATCATGGGATTTTTTTTTTCATTTTCCATATAGCACAAAAAGGTTAATTTTTCATAAGAATTTTGCCTCTACAAATCATATGACAACCTTCAGAGGCTGATTGATAGTTTCTTCCTTGCCATCCTTAGCAGTGTGTCCATCCACTTGATCGCAATGTCAAGTGTAAGACGAAGCCCTTCAAGAAATTTTGCGATTTCCTGGCAACGTTGACCCTCAGACTTTGCTTCATCTTGCCTAAAGAGCTTCATACATGCATTTTTTATGGTTTTCCTGCCCATCTTTACTGGTATTTGTCAATAAATTAAAAAATATATTAAATTTCTCATAAAATATTACTTAAATACTTAAAAAAAAAAATCTTGAATCATATTAGCTAAGATGTTATTGCATAAAAATTACAATTATTTGTATCTCTTCGGTATGATCACACCATTAACATGTTGTCCCTTCTTCATATAATATAAGCAAAATAACATTATACAAAAGAAGGATTCAGATATATAAGTTAAAGAGATTTATAACACAGAGTGTTAGTAAACAACAGAGTGTCTCTTTAGATTAATTTGGGTTGTTTTTGGTGTTGCTGTAGATATTTTGCTTGAGGAATAGTCCCACGGTACACTCGTTTCCGGAAAGCCCCAGTCGAAGTTCAATAGCGCCCCAGCGGGCCCCATTGGAGTCTGATTGGGGGTGCTTTTGTTCCTCATACCCGTATATGGGGAGGATGCTGTGGTGGTCTTTGTCTCGCCGCAACGGGAACTGCATAGACATTCGATGAAGGTGGTCAGGTGGAGGCCATCAAGTACGTGTTCATGTCTCGCTCATTTTTCTTCCCTATTACATGATCCATTCTTGCTTCCAGTCCCGCTCCCCTGATTCACGGTGTGATTTTAGTGTGACAATGGCGAGGAAGAGAGAGAAATATTAAATATATTACTATAAAATAAACCACAGGCTGAAGAGAGACGATCACTATATGTAATGACTACATATCTTCATAGGTTTAAAGAAATATATTTATATTTATATTTATATATATATATCATGTTCCATGAGACTTTACCTCTCATGTTCGCTATGTGAAAGCAGTGAAAATGATCAAAAGGAAACACATTGAATGCATTTAATTCTATGATTGTGAGATAAGTGAGCTAGTACGAGATTGTTATGTAGAATTCAAAGACAAGTTACTCAGTGATGAGGTGCTGATAAGGAGTGCAAATCCACTTTTATCCACAGTGCGAGAAATATATCCTCATCTCATATTATTTACTTATACTCTGGTTAAGGATTCACACTGAATAGGATCACTTTGTGTCGACTTCAAAGAAGAATTATCAAGTTTTGCTTTCATTTATTCTCAACCAAATATTTAATAACATGTTTGGTTGGAAAAAAAGAAACTTCCAACGGGAAAACTTTTACGAGTCATTAAGTTGAAGTTGAGATTTTCCCTCAAACTCGAACGCTGTAATTATTGGAACTTTATTATTTGCGGGTTTCCTAATGCGTGTAGATTCTTCTTTGAGGCCAACAACTTACTTCGTTCCTGATAGACTATCATCAGGAGTTCTGTAAGTCGATCTCTTTGCTAATCAGATCGAGAAGGAGTTCTACGAAATATTTCTACCTTACACAGTTGGTACTCATACATTATCACTGACTTGCAATTTGTGAATGGGTGAATATAGAGACATCACAATATGAGGAAGAGTGTGTACCAAACATTCATGAAAGACAAAGAATGAAGAATACATACGAACAAACAAACATACTTCTCTGAATGCATAAAACTGCGGTGCCGTCGGGTCCGTGATGGCCATTTTCGACTTGGCATACTCAATACGAATGGCCCCACGGTCTGATGACAGAAGGAAGGTGCCTTGGAGTGCGGCCATAGCGCCGGCTGCGCAGCCGGAATCTTTGAATTCAACAAATGCTACGGGAATGCTACCCGGTTGTGAACCTTTTGAGTGCATTCGGAGGCGACAAAAGCCAGGCAAACTGTGCATAATATCAGTATAATAAAATCACAGTAATCCAAAGAAACGAAATTAAATCTTCAAGAGATTCTTTAGGGTACTATTATCAGATTTATGATATTGTCTAAAGTCCTTTTCCACCAAATCTCCTACTGTTTTCGTGAATTTTGTGTTTAGATAATTGTGGTGTGTGTGTGTGTGTGTGTGTGTGTGTGTGTGTGTGGAGCCTAATAATAATTGTGGCAACATATAATATAAATTGACTTCACAATAAGTTTTATTATTCATTATGAATGGTCCAAAATAGAAATGTCACCACAATGCAAAGTAGCGAATTGAAAATTAATCATATGCAGGTTTAAATGCAATTAAACACTTCAAACACATCATTGGCTTTTTTATTAAATTTCAACGGATAATGGATAATAACGAATGCATTGGAAATTATGTGTTAATACTCTAATCAATGAATTTCATTGGCAGCAAATTTGCACCTTCATAGTTGACCACAATGAAAAGAAAAATTCTCGCTCTTTTCCAACCCTTAATTGTCAATCCGTGACAGTGACTTATAAAGAAAACCATTATGAGGACGTGCTTTTCCTCTCTCTTTTATCACTTCCCTGCTTTTCTTTCGCATCTTTTCTATATATAGCACAAACCCATAATAATTTGTTTAAAGGTCGTAGTCAATTTGTCTGTCAATTCTTCAAAGTGTCAATCAATTAAAAGTTACGAAGGGAAACTGCAGAATTCAACTGAATCTGAAAATGCTTCTCATCAATATTTAATGTAATCGAAATCCATTAGTCTTCTCGTCCGAGATTTTTAATCCAATATCTAGTGTATATATATTTTCTGTGGAGTCATTTTTTGAGCTATATCTAGAATAGAAATTTGCGATAATATGTGATTGAAATGGGGTTGATTTTCCAGCGGAGCATCAGATATCTGGCATTATTTCTCGGAGCGGAAAACTGACTGAAGGGTGATGTTGTATGATGATGTGCGGCTTTCAAATATATTATTTCACTATAGGCGCACATAGTAACTGTAGAAACAGTCTCACACACGACAAGCATGTGAATTTCCGCGTAAAATACAACATCACACATCCAAATAGTAGCAAATTACAATGGAAAATTGGCCGTGGGTGAGAAATGGGAGATTATTTTGTTACTAATGAAGCGATTGCATCACACTCTCATTTTTTTCCACGGAAAAATTATTAATGATGAGTATTTTTTATTCGAGTTCCGTTCGTGGCTTTTTACCCTTCAATATATTCAGTTGTGAAAATGTGAGGTGAGCCAGAAAAGCGAATTTGCAGAGAGAAAGAGTCATTCTTTCGTCTATTTCTTGTCGCGCGAAAACTGAACAAAAAAGAGGAGAAAGAAGGAGAAAACAATTCTGCGAGAGGTTTCTTTTTTTTTGAATATATTTGGTATGCTTTTTGCCACCACTCTCACGTTCTCCCCTGAGACAGCTATATAATTGTGTGATTTCCGTGACGTGTGAAAATTGATGGTACATGTTTTTCCCATTATGGAAATTTTCATTTGAAGAGGACGTGTGGGTGAGGAGAAGAATTATATAATAATAATAATCATAAACATGGATGAAGCTATAGATGAAGTCCTTCGAGTACACATGAACGTATTTGTATTGGTTTATATGAACCCCATGAAAATGTTGCTTTGTCAATAAATGTTTTTCCCTCGACAATTGACTAGCGTTTTTGTTCTAACAAACGATTGGAAAGCCGATTATTTTCGGTCGAAACCCTCCAAAAAAGAGCTTTTAAATGTGAATGTACCTCAATGTGTTATAAATGCTCTGAGTACCCCTTTTATTGTATTAGATGTGACGTGAAAAGCTGAATTCTTCGGTATATATTGAGTGACATTGCAGTATGAAGACACTGAAGATTGGGTAAAAAGCACGAAGACGTCTGACCGCTTACACCTCAACGAAATGCACCAAGTTTTTTGGGTCACATCAATTTTCATTCTAAACCACCACTTATTTCGCTGTGACTCCATTTTGGTGTGAATTCCACGGAATTCCACAAGCCACCCTTCCGACAAAAAACCCCAGCGACCTTTTCCCACACTAAACCCACGCTATTTCTGCTCTCCTTAGGAATTTTCTGTGGGACAGCAATATCGGAAGTTATTAAGAATTACCTTCAGGATAGCGGTATGTATAATTGTTTTATGCAAATTAAAATTGTATATTTTTATTCTAGCGAAAAAGAAGATATTATGATTGGGGAGTTCTTTTGGGGAGTCTCGCGGAGAAATAAAAGTAATTTAGAGCAATAAATTGTTACCGCAATTGTGCTGGTGTAATTAATAAAATGTTATGAGAAATATGTATATATCTTAATATCACCCTTATTATAGTCAAAATTCCTACGGAATTTCTTATGTGCTATTATTTTTACTCTCAAAAATTCTTTTGCGTGATATGAGAACATTAAGATTGAATAAATTTCCTGCAAATTGTGTGGATTTTTTTTTTTCAAAATTTCGTCCCTCAAATACGTGTAATGGAAAAAAAACAGTGAAGAAACTTGGTGGACTTTAGGACATGTGCTTTTACTACATTGAACGTTCAATTTATTGAATGTGTGGGTGTGAGTTGTTGCTTCATAGTCATTCCGGCATTAAATTTTATGTTTTGTATCACTTTTACAATATAACATATGAGATTAAAATAAAAGTTCATTACTGGGTGTGACACATATGTATAAAGGTGCGTGGAAGTATAGATATTGTAGAATGACAAAAAGATATTATTTGGTTAGATGGTCTCTTTCGAGGGATTACGGGGGATAATAATGGGATGTGTCAGATGCGATAAAACTTACCTAGCGAAGAGTTCTTTGAGTTCGTGCTCGGAGACAAATTGTCCAAGATTCGCGACGAACAGCGTGGAGCAGGGTGCATTAGCGGCGAGGGGTGGATTAGGTGGCTGTGAGCCACCGCTGGAGCCCACGGGACTAGCGAGAGCTGGGCTGGGTAAGAAATGGCCGGCCGGGAGACCAGCTGAGACATGGATTGAGGCTGGATGAAGAGCTGCTGGATGAGGCATAGGCATTTGAGGCTGCAAAGTCACATATAGAGAACCATTGTATCATTTTGCAAACATTGTCATGCTTGGATAGTACCAGCACAAAAGCTCCCAGTTCCACACAATAGCCACCCCTGTCCCAGATGAGCGTACATATATGCGGTCGAGATGACATCACATTGCTTTTTCATGAGCAAAAGTCAAACATGGTCCTTCAGAGGACAAATCCTGAATTGAGCTGTACTTCCAACAGTCCAGACCCATTGCAATCGTATCTCATTTTAAAATACTACCCACTCACAGCGGGGAGGTGGATTAGAATTTTCATTAAAATCATGATATAGAGGGACCACCATGAGGAATGTGGATAGTTTCGCCCCCAAGTGAAATATATAATAACTTGTTTCTGCACTGCAGAGAAATTCGTAAATACACTCCTACGAAAGTACACTTTTCCCTGCTTTCCAATGCTTAGGAATCCGTAATATTTCAAGAAGGTGAGAAACTGGAAGGTGCTACTATTGAAATGTCTGCCGAGGAGTCGTGCAGCTAATGCCACAATTTTGAAAAATATTTGTTTCTTTTCAATTCTCAACACCCTTTCACAGACACAAAATGTTCATAAGATCAACGCAAGGTTGGCAAATTTGTGAATCGCGTGAATGCAATGTACTTGACGTCAGAACGTATTTGTGTACGTGAATCACCTGAATGGTATTTTTAATAAGCTCCAAAGGTCAATGGGGTCGCCTGGTCGTTCTTCAGCGTGTGACAAATTTCCACTAATGCGTGCTCGAAAGCCTATAACACTATGTACCAAACAGAAAATGTAGAATGAAATATATCACTTTCTAGCCCGCCATTAGACACCCCCTATCCCACTCCAACCCCCTACAGAATTACACTGGGCCGCTGCGCGTTCCCATTTGAAAGCTCATTCACTTTACATGTGTTCTACATCACAAATGTTACGCCTTTTGGTGCTCCGACAATGATGTGAAACACGCAATCATTTTTGCTATTTATTTATTCGCTCTTGTGCTATTTTACTTCTTGCCATGAGTCCATTTCGACGGGATCTCTATATCTTTTTTTTCCACCCATGTTCGTCCTTCAGTGTTCAATACATTCATATATCTCCTCTCTGTCATTCCTCGTGCGTCTCTTGTTGGCGAATCGAACAAGAGTGTGTATTTATTGAAGGATAAAATGTCAATGTTTCACCATTTCTCACCACATTCATATGGCCGGAGCGGAACGATAATTCCACTAATGATAGCGATTGAATATGCCGTTCCTCCCCTTCGCAACGCGCTCTGCACCCAATTCGCCGTCCATTGATTGCTGGACACGAAAGGAAAAAAAAGTCTGCATAATCACAATTGTTGACCCATTTTCATTTCACCCGCAACAACGCGAACAATGATTGTTTCATAAAAGACATTTTATGTGCTCTCCACCTTAAGCCCCAGTCCCATTGACGGCGTGCCGAGGCGTCGAATTGACTGGCTATAAAAATTCCCTTTCATGAATTTCAATTATGTGCTTGTTAAACATTTGCACATCAGAGGAAAGCTCTCTGCGCACGCACAATCATTTCAGTATTTCTGCAATTCTAAAGAATGCATCAATCTCTATTCTCGCTTCTCCCGAAAGCGTACTCAAATTGCAAACAGCTCACTAAATATTCACACAAATGCATTTTGATGGCGTGTGGGGAAATTTTCATTCATTTCCCAAAGGCCAATTGATAAACATCGATTCAAATATTGCCCACAGAGCATTATTGAATATTAAATGAACTCTTCCATCGTGTTTTGTAAAAGTTCTGTATTTGATATTCTGAAAGAAATTAAATTTAAGCATGTAATTTAATTGAGCGAAATTGACTGGAAATAATTCAAGAATCCTCTTCGTCCAGGGATGAAACAAAAGTCTTCTCGATATTCATTTATTGAGCATTTCCTGAAGTGCAGAGAAGGAGAAAATTGTAATATTCTACATTTCTCCTTCTACAAATCTGTCGATTCTCCATACCTTTGTTTTGTACATGGAGCAAATGGAAAAAAACTGAGACCGAGAGTAGATAAAAAGCATTTACCACGAGTGCAAGAGATATATAACCTGATAAAGAGCAAAATATATACAAATTTACAAATTGAAAAACGGAAGTGAATACATTTTTTTCACAATTTTCTCTCTCAGTGGTGGCTTTTTGCCACAATATGTGTTGCGCAGTGGGTGGCGTGAGTGCGAAAGCAGCTATTTTATATTGTAAATTCTTCCTTGTGACACTGAACACAGGACGAAGTGCACTTTAAGTCACCGAAATGAGTGTGAAATGGGAGCTTTTTTTCTGGTACAGCACAATAAGTACTTACTTGGTGCATTGGTTGCTCGAGGACCTTTTCTGGATTTAGTCAAAGGTAAGACCTCACCGGCACTTGAGGATGCAGAGCCGGATGAACCAACGTGGCATGCTGCAGGGCCGCGGCGCCGGGTAGTTCAGCTGCTGCGGCGGCGGCTGAGTAAGCTAGCGGATGGTGCCAAAGCTCGGGTCCCCCCGGAAAGAACGGTGTTCCCAAATCTGCAACAAAAATAATCCGGATATTAATTAAATTCTCACTGCGACACTCGAGACATCCCTCTGTGTCTGACAAAATCTTCATTTGCACACCATTCGTGTGCCTCCCAGCGCTTTCGCAAACGCAACTAGCAATTAAAGCTCACGGGGGAAGGAGATTTCACACTTTGGCGAAGATTGCACGAGAGATATGTTGATGCAAGGCAAACCTGGAGAAGTCTCGGAGTTGTTTCGTCGGGTGGAAAAAGTTATTAATAAATTTTTGACAGGAGTTTGGAAGTTTATTTCCCTCTCTTCCACTTTTCCGGATGGGTGAGTCACGAAAACTATGCACAATAATTGCAAAGCTGCTGCAGCAAGAAAACTCACAATATGTTAATTTGGAACATTTGTTTCTTTTTTTAAGTGCTGCACAGATTACTGGGGATTCATCTAAAAAAAAAAAACATTACAAAGTAGATTCCGCGAGCGATGTTTATTTTCAATCAATGCCTAATAGTTCCAGTATATAGGCAAGAGGAATGCAGCGCATTTATAGACAATGGAGCGTGGAAGTGCAAATTCCCCAATCAAATGTAATAACACTTCGCGCAGATAATTCAAAGTTATTCCAATTAAGCAATGATTTTCTTTCCTCTCCCCGGTTTGCGAAAGTGATACAAATTGTGGCCATCACGGCGGGGAAGAACTTTTTTCCTGTGCGGAACTGTCAGCATTTGGAAAATGAGAAAAGTCCTTGTCGTCTGTGGTCTAGGTGTTGGTGGAGGGACGGGTCATCCTCGAGGCGTCTAACAATCAGAGAGCATGGCAAAGTGTTTCGAGCAAAAAAAGGGGAATGCGAGGAAAATGTCGGCAGCTGAGACGCCACAATGCCGCCAATTGATTCATGTCCCCCTCAGTTTCTCCACTTTTTTTTCCCTTCGCCAGTTTAGCTACAAGTGTTGCCTCTGAGCTATATTTCAGCCAGAAGACAGGGACTGAGGAAAAAGTATGGTGGAAGTGTGAAGGGGTAAAAATGTGGCGAAGAAATTAAAACTTCTCGCCATATCCTTTCATCACTTTTCACCCAAACCAGCTCCAATGTGCCATCTTGCCTTGCAATATCATTTCAATGGGTGAATGGGATGCGTTTGTTGAGCACCACCAAGGCTATTTACACTCTGCCTCGTGACTCCTCTTCTTTCAGTTAGGAACATATACATATGTAGCATTTTGGGTGCAATATAAGCCATTTTTTCTGTACACAGTAGTCAAGGAAGGAAGAACTCAGGCCTGATGTGCGTGCTTGATAAATTACATGTCAGTCACCTTCGCCATTGTCTTAATTACGACACCTGAACCTTATCTCAGTCACATAGCGTGAATCAAGAACCGTTCGGAACGGAACTCCTTTATGAAGTCACTCATTGGTCACTTTGACACTCGATGTTGGTGATTCTCGAAGAATGACTGCAAGTAACTTATCAATTTTGGCATGTAATTCATTTTATGATCAAACATACTAAATAAGTTTAGCACCGGAGATAAAATTAATAGTTTTCAGTCGATTTCCGAGATAGCTTCACCCTAATCCATCCAGACAAGATAGTTTGTCACCTAATCACGACACAGAAACTTGCCAGTGATTATGCATTTCTGGAAGATAGTGTAACTTAAAATGAGTTTTGGCTGAAGTTCACTTTTTGTTCTTACAAGTATGATCATAAAACAATTTACAGCTAAAGTAGACCAGTGCCTTTTCGCAGATATTGCCCTACTTCGAGAAGTCTTTCTAGCAAATGAAATTTAATTTAAGTTGAAGTTATGCTTCAACACTTTCAGTATTGCGACTCTCTAAGATATCTGTCGTCATTGACTTGTGGGAGTCACATAACAAATTCCCCTATTGAAATGCACTTGTACATAAGATATCGGCAGTAGCGGAGGATATGCTGCAGGTGAGGGATGAGCCAATCAAGAGGTTAAAGGCTAGTGAAGAAGTTTGCTCTGTAGGGTGGGCAAATATAGGTGGATTCTGTGGTGTCCTTTCTATACAAAAACCAAATGATGGAAAAAGAAAAAAACGAGAAAAGTCGGTGGGGTACTTACGTCCAGTAAGTGGGTGCATCAATGCAGGATGTGCGGCTGTTGTCGCTGTATTAGGCTGTGGTTTTGGTTTGCTCACTTTCGTATTACTCTTGGCGAATTCCAAGCGAATGGTTTGGGGCATGTCGGGATCAAAGCGAACACCTTGCTGCAATTGGTTGGTGTGAATCGTGTGCGTGAGTGACAGAAATAATAGAGAAATTCAGTTTATATGTATATATTTTATCTCATTCCACAGTATTAGAAACTTTATAGGCATCACAGGTTCTTTTATCGCAATTCTTGAGAAGAATTCATCAAAATTTGTATGTTCTCCCCTTTCTTTTTTATATTTTCGTCTTCAACATTTTTCACTTCTCTTGCTCTTCCTCCGAGTGTCTTGACACATTCCTATTTTTGGGTGGATTTTCGCTCAGGGGGTGAAAGTCTATTAGTTCATTACTAAAATGGACAATCATAGTGGTAGTGTGAGATCTCTTTTTCCGCTCAAATGCTGTCGGAAGTTCCACTGACAGAAAAAATATGGTAGAGTGAAAATGGAAGTGAGGAAAACCGGTCGACCGGGAAGGAGAGAAGAGGGCGTTTGGATCGATTGGCCTCGAGATTGAGAATTGATGATGGTTTCGTAAGTAGTTGTAGGGCAGCACAGCTAGCAATTTCATTATTTAGTATCTACCCCGATGTTTGACACCCAAGACAACCCATAATTTCCAACATCCACTACCTATAAAAAGGATATTGGCTAAATTGGATTAATTTGTTGCTGCAAGAATGAAAATTTCAATGCAATATTCATTTGAGAAGCAAATCGCGGCGCTGGACTTTCATCAATCATTCCGTTCGCGAGGGTGGCTTGCTGTTGTGTTCATTAATTTTATACATTTCCACAGATTTTTTTTTCAATTTCCAGCACACAGCGAATGGTAGCCTAAAAACATTTCCAACGAGAAATTTTCCATTCTCACTATAATTTCCCTCTTTTGTCATCGACAGCATAAAAGTTTTGACGGCAAATAGGTTCGGGGACGGACACAGAGGGCTGAACCACCCATGAAACAGGTGTACATAGTCAGGTGACTCACGATTCACCATTAAAAACGTATTACTTTATTCTCTGCAACACAGCGCATTTCACGCAAGGTTGTGTGTAGCTTCTAAATGCTCTATTATATCGATCAAAAATCAAATTGTCGCCCACTATTCGTGCACACTAGTGCACGTGAGACGCGCGCCGCGGAGGGAATAAAACATGAGCGGTTTAGGTGGAAAGCCAGGATGTGTGGAGGTTGAGGGCGAATCAAACTGCGAAATAATAAAATCGCTGCGATTTCGCAAATCCTTCATCACGTCATCATTTTTCAGCCAGCAAAATGCAAATCGACAGTGCATGAGATCCTGGATTGAGAGATATCACGGAAAAATAAACAAATATCCGAGGATTTCACATGCATGTGTAATGTGATCGGCTAGTTCAGCTTTCTAGGGTCTAAGCGAATCACATAAATGCAATGTTTTCACCCCCCAAAGATTGCAGATTATACCTTTTCATCATACTTTTTGTGAGATCCTTTTTTTCCACCTTGATGAATACAACACGATGGGAAAGAGCGAAAATCAACATAAATTTCACTAATTTAAAATGCCTTTTTTACTGGCCAGCAAAACTTGTGGAAGGAGAACATTTTCGTTTGGTGTTTCACTCTCTGGCTAAATAGAAAATGAGATTTAAATTTAATGAAAAGCCTCACAAAAGAGAATATCAGTAACGGTAGTAAAAACGCGAGCTTTCGGAAGAAGAGAAAGAGCTTTGCAGGGGATTTTCAATTATAATTTGTATAAGTTTGACTGTGATTCATCCACGATTCCATTAATTATCATCTAGCCAATTTATCCTCTGATTTCACGAGGACAGATGGCAAAAAATTAATTGATATTTGAAATGTGGGATAAAATTTTAAAAGTGATTTTTTCTCTCTTTATTTGTCAAATAAATTAATGCTTTATGCAATAATATATTTTTTTTCTGTGAAATCCATAAGTCACAAACACAATGACTGGAACAGGGGAGTGTGGGATGGGAAGGGGAAGAGTATTTAAAATGAAATATTTCTGTGAATTGAAAAGTGCCACCAACTAATAAGTGAAACCAGCAAAAAATCAATTAATTATGATACATTTTTATAGAATATCACATAATTGTCATGAGTGGAGGGAAAAATTCAATGAACGTGTTTCATAAATTATTTTAATTAATAAGTATATTGACAGATGGATTGAGTCAATGATTTTTTTTTCTCTCTCATTTTTTGCCAATTTGGAAAATTTTCATCTGCGTAATTTGGAATGGTAAAATATTTTATTGATCTTTGGTGGATTATCACATTTTTACCACACAATAACTATCAAAAGTACAGTGAAAACACTTTCATTGATTTACTTCCATTTTGGTGTTTCAAGACGCCTTTATTCTCACTTAGAGTGTTAGAATATAAAGAAAAAGGTACAAATTAATGATAAAATCTACCAAAACATCCCAGTGATTTGGATTTTCTTGATTTCAGTTTCATATGTCTTGCAACTATAGGTTTATTTCTTAGCATTTTTGGCATGTAGGTTTGATAATGTAGTCTTCGGTAAATATGTATATATGTGATTGTGTCTATGGTGATTTCAGTGATTCGTAGGATGATTGCGAAGGTGAGGATGGAATATTTTACCTGCAAGTCCTGCTTAGCTGCCTCTGCTCCGGCTCTCGTGTGGAATGTGACGAAACCAACCGGCTAAAGAAATGCAGTATACAGGTAGTAATTGAGTAATTGTTCACAATAAGTAGTTTTACAGTGGACATGATTAAACTTCTTAGCTTTTCACACTTACCGAAGCTGTCTTCCCATTCTTACTGGTTACTTTCAGTAAAGACCCCTCGTAACCCTACAAAAACAGTTCAGAATACACAATTTTGAAGTTAAATGGCAACTATTAAATAAATTTTATGCCAGCCAGTAGACAGGCATCAGCCAGATCAATGTTATTGTTCAAATTAATTTAGTTTTAATGTAATGTAGTATATAAATTGAATTTAGTACCTCATAAGCTCTAAATAACAAGTATAATTCTCTTGGCTTTGCATCCATCGGTAATCCACTGACAAATAGAGTTCGGACCTGCAAAAGACAGTTTTGATGTTATTCAATGGAATCATACAAATTAATTGGGAGTGACAAACAATAAACGCTTTCATGTTCGACTTTCTTTCAGTCCTTCAATGACATTTTATTCGCTTTGAAACTGAAATATGACCCTTTGATTCACAAAGTTTATGTATTTTTTTATGAAATTCTGCGCAACGCGCATGCATTTAAGCATTTTTCATGAGCATTAAATTGTGCTAAAATTTGGACATTTCACCGTGGCCTCAGGTATATGTTGTGTACTAGAAATTGGCGAAACTTCCAATATAACATCCATTAAAATATTTTATGTTGAGTTGCACTGGGTAAACATGCAACGTTTTATGCACTCACCACACATCAAATGGTGGAATCATTTAAAATTCTAAATTGGCGAATGAGGATGTAGTCAGGGGTTTAAAATTAAATGGGATTATAACTGATGTTATTTGCGGAATTTCCGAGTGTAAAACATTCAAGCTGTCATGGTGATGAAAGTTCCCCACTAATCAGTTTGCCAGTGAGAGTAATCTTTCGCCATCGGAAACACGTGGAAAAGTGTTTGTACTTTCATAAAGTTGAAAAATTGATTGAATTTCACCGCGTCTTTTCAGCGCGGGGTGAACTTCCCATTGGGAAAAGTGGCTGAACTCCAGCGTGGTTATTTATCTACCTGTGCACCAGTTCGAAAGCAAAATAAAAACTCTTCTTCCACATACAATGTCGAGGCATCAGGAAGATTCCACGTAGATAGAGCATGCTTCATTTTCATTCTGACTATATGTGTTTGGGCAATAGAGACGAGCGCGGTGCTTCAATAAATTTACATGAGTACATAATTTTATCTTTTTCCTGCAAATGCCACAATTCGTACACATTAAATATTGAAAAATTTTCACACAATGTTATTAAATGTTGGCACATTTCAGGCTTACATGTGATTGATCCAAAATAGAAGTCAATGGGGTCAAATACACCCATATCAACATAGTATACAACATTATTTTGTGTGCCTCACGAAACGCGCGAATATCCTTTTATGGCCCTAACAATATACAATTCTCACACCCAAAGGATTTTGCGTTCGCTGCGCACGACTTTATGAAAATCAATTGCTTGTCGCATGTCTTAATGAATATGTAAATATGTTAATACAAATAGCTGAGAAGAAAGTCTCCCTTTCTCATGCATTTCACCCGAATTTTCAGCAATTTCTCAGTACTTTATACTTTTTCCACAGTACAGTCTGTGTAAGTGTATTATCTCCTCCCAGCAAATAATATTTGTCAGTGAAGTGGGTGGAGGAGTCAGAGTGTACGTAACTAGATTTTGCATAAGAATACAATTTCTTAGATTACCATTTAAATAGAAGAATAATTGATTTCGTTCAAACTTCCATGTTTGGCTTTCTTTAGCTGCGAAATTCACTGCTTTCGCTCAAAAGAAACTTTTCTGGCGGGTGTCATGCTCTCTTGACATTCTCAATTGACATTCTGACACTTGCAATTGGATACGAGAAGAGTTTAGAAATTTTCAAGGAGATTTTGCCCCACAGTTTCGAATGAGTGAGTTTTGGGAGAAAATTAGCATTTGGACAAATCAATTCTACTTACAAGCTGTTACATTGTGAGATTGAGTGCTTGTATAATTTAAAAGTCCCTTCGTCTAAGCATGTTTCTAATCAATAAGGAAAATAAAGTGGTGAAATTTGACTTACAATATTGTTCCCTTACACGAACGGCGCAATAATGGTTAATCGGTACAATTTTCCACATTAACGATCCCAGACGTGAATTTAATGAATTTATAAGCAAGCATCCGCCAGTTTTTGGCTATGTGTGTATATGTGTTGGAATTATAAATGATAATTAGATTTAATTAGGAAGTAATTTTACGGTTGAGAAAGTTGCTAGTGGCAAACACGGATGTGCTGTACCTCAATGCACACTACTATAACTTACATCATGTACATAGAAGATTTTAGTAGGCATATATTTTAATCTTATAGAGAGAATGAACAATCCTAATTAAGTGCTGTATCTGTGGTCGAAAAGTAGACGGTGAAAATCCAAGATATTGCTCGATGTGGGCTTGGAAATGCGAGATTTAGAGGAATAAATCGCGAACAAAGTGGAAAAATAAACCCGGCTATGCACGGAGAAGAGGGGAATTGAACATGTGAGATGCATAGCTGTGTACACGTATTTATAAACCCCTCTAGTGAGTCACTATGGGATCGAGTGTCACCTTCCCGATGATCATATAATACCGACACCAAATAAACCACATAAGAAAACCCTGATCCTGTACACTGCATGGCTACAGGGGTTATTCGTGACTTTTTCTTTGGGCGGCGGGCGACTCCCATCCCACCTGCTCTGCGGTGAATCAACCGTGAATGCTCAAGAGTCAAAGAAGCCATGCAGGAGACAGTGTAAATATTTTACAAGTTGTACACTTTATAGCTTCTCGCCGCCTTTTCTGATTCTTAAAGTGAATTTTTAAATCACAATCAAGGAATTCTGCTTAATTTCTTATTATTTTTGTAATCTAATTGGAAATTCTTCCTCCTCCACAGTCTTTTTCACTCTTAATTTAATCTCAGAATCATCGCTATTTCCCTGCATTCAGTTGGAAGAAGAACGGCACGTCGCTGTGATAAAACCACGAATTGTAACACGAAGTGGAAATTAGTTTCAACCCCCATTCGTACTTGAAAGTTGAATTAATCCAGTCTCCTATAGAAAATGCAGATGTTTGGCAAATCCTCTCATTAACTCCATCTACATTGGGTACGCTTTTTGTTTGCTTCCTTCCTACTTTTCACCTCAGACGTACATATGCTTCATAATTTTCATCTTTTTAGAGCACGATAACAGATTATTCCAGAGCCCAGTGTGACGGATAAAGCAACAGTGAAAGGTGACAGATCAGAAAGAGTAAAGTAAGAAATGCATGTAAGTATATTCTACCCTTGACTACTGGGGATGCTTCTTGCCTAACATAAAAGCAAATCCCGCAGTGTTGAAGAAGAAAATATGTACATTTTACATCCACTTGGGAAGACTCCTTCAGTGAGTCAATATAGAACAATTCAGATACCATTGTCTTGCACATATTTCGTATTCCGACATGCTTGGCAGAGGATGTCCCTTCGGTGTTCTCGCCAAGGGATGAGGAGGTGAGTAAACACGGATGGAATAGGATCTTTCCATTGGAACAACACAACTTTACACAGACTTTAAATGGATGTGCGCATATAACAATTTTGGCATTCGCTATGAGATGTATTCTTGCAAAAACACAAGATGTTGCTTTTGTATCCCCAAAAGAAGGAGTCTGGATTTTTCACACCCACATGAGGATGTTACGGATAGTAGATGTGACATACGAAGTCTCATGTGTAAATATGTATAAATATAATGCCCAACCTTGTGTCTAACTTAGTTTCCGTTAAGATCCTATTACGTTAATGTCCTTAGTGGAAAAAAAACTAAAGGACAAAACATACTAATAAATAGTGAGAGAATTTAGGGCGGTCAGATTGTACATATGTAGACTGTATGTTTATGTACAATTGTGTACATACTGCAGTTTTGTGTCTCAATTTTGTACATACACGTAAGATTCTTGGGCTCTAATTTATGACGAGAGACTCATGGTATTCGCCACAGTACACAAACTTTTATCCCCAACATACCAACGAAACGGTTCAGTTTGGGATTTATAGATCTCACACCAAGAAGTCGATGCCGTGCCGGAGTCCCTTTGGCTCGTACGTCTCGCCCAATATATGTATGTATGTTCGTATACGATATTGTTGATGTGAGAAGCTCAATGCACCGAGACACCGGAAAGTCACTTTACTGAGCTTTTCTCTCTCTTGTCTGCCGCCTTCTTGCGGTTCGGCGCTGAAAAATATTTTATATTTTGCTCAAATTCACTTCAAATTTCACCCACCGAGGCGTATGAGAGAAATCCTATTTATAAATAGCCAAAGGTTGTGCATATATGAACTCATATCTTGTGTATACATCTATATATGTCTGATGAAAACCAACCAAAAAGGTTAAGAACAACTTGAGTCTGATTTCGCAATAACGTCAAATTCATTCAAAAGCACATTCACATTGAATATTCTCCCAAAAGCCGCATTAAATGGCTCTCATGTGAATAAAAGATAAAGACAGGAGAATTTCACTTGTGCAATTTCTTTCCTCAGAAAGAACCATGCATTCTCTATAATCAAACAGCGGAAGAGTGAAGAAACCTCACGAAAGCACGACAGCATTAAACAAAGAAGACGTTTTACCCTATAATTCTACGCCTCGTAGAAAAATGTATTAAAATCTGTGTTCAGGGAAATTCACCTAAATCATCATTCTGAAAAATTAATCACAATTTACAATGTGATTAAATTTTCATAGATTTATTCCAGCGCTTCACCATCACTCTGCATTTCAGTGAGGATGAATTGCTTCTGTTCTTGAGCATCAGGAAAAGTGAGAAAAAAATGATTCAACTGCTGCAAATAAATTTTAATATGTGTTTAAATGCTTGCCTGGTTTAAATTGCAATGTATGGAATATAATAATTATGCACATGTTTAAAAGACAAAGAGCACTTCTCCATGTGAAATAAGTGCACGAGATATGACTATTTAAAGCTTTGTTCAAAATTCACAACGTTAGCAGGAAAAATTCCGGCGGACTACATTCGAGAGTCGCTGCATATGTAAGTGAAGCACCCAGGAAGTTTTATGGACGTGTTCAAAAATCCAGCGCATTGAATATTTAATAAGCATTTGTGCCGTGAAACAACTCCGCACCTAAAATGCCCCAAAAGAGCTGGCTTAATAATTTCCAGCGGCAGGAAGATGAGCAAAAATTCCGGCGAGGTGTCGACGACGGTGCTTTCAGAGATTGATGGTGTGGGGTAAAAAAGTTGTGGACTGAAAGGATGCGAAGAGCATCCACTCGATAATCTACCAAATT